CTAATAATATTTGAATAATTGCATAATTTGTTTTGTTTTGATTTGTTGATGCATGTAACAACCGCACAGCCCATTGACGAACTTCATGTCACATCAATTTAAAAAAATATTATTGGTAGGTTGGTGGCACTATTATATATGTAAGAGCATAAAGTTGTTCAACTAGGCTTGTGACCAGCATCTAGACTACGTAGTGTGGTATTTATGTATTATTATTTTGAGTTCGTGCCTAATATTCATCAATACTAATTTGATTCATTTTATCAAACGTGTTAGAAGTCTTAATACTAACTTGATGTATACAAGTTGATATGAGTATCTCGTAATAGAACTAATTTTTTTCACTTTCGGCCAAACCCACCAAATACGTTCTTATTTGAAAAAACTCATGGATCTTTATCATATTAAAATTTATCTGAAAAAACTCACTTATCTTTGGATTAAGACATGACGAATCTGGTTGATTTAACTACCATGACTTGGAAAATTTAATATCAATGTATTACATCAAGAACGAACTGGCTTAACAATTGATTTAACTACTCTTTTGTTATTGTTTGTTTCTTCCCAAGTATTTTATTTTATTTATTTATTTATTATTTTTTCCCCCGGCGGGGGGGGGTGGGGGGGTGGGTACAACAGACGACTTAGGGAAGAATTATTTATCCTTCCGTTTGCTAGTTGGTTCATGTGGTTTATTTTTAATATTTGCCGGTTATTTTATTTGGTTTTCTGAGGATTTGACCCAAAATTATTACTGCCTCGAGTCAATGAAGCTGCTAAATTGAGTTGAATTCTTTACCCAGTACCCTAACCACGGGTAATACTATATTTACCTAATTTTTTTATTAAATCTCCGGCTCAAATAACGTGGTAGAGCGTTTTCTTATCACTGAGTCCCGTTAATAAATAATGATAGAGATTATACGACATCATTTGAAATAAAAATTTCAATAAATTTTTTTGGGTAAACAACATTTTCCCCCTAACCAGTTGCCATATTTTTTCATATGCGACAAATAGTTTTATATGGTATCTTCATAATTTGACTTAAAATTATTATATTCTTGATTATTGAATCTATTCAACACGAGTTAGCCTTCAAGTATAATCTTTTAGTGTTAATTTATCGTGTTAAAAATTCAATCTCAGATCGAAAAACCCTCATCATTTTTACATAAGGGTTTTTCACATTTTGTATCGCAAAAAATACCTTGATTCGCACTTTATACATCAAAAAAATTATTTTTTCACATTGCAGCTTGAATGTCATAAATTGGTTCTAATGTGACCTTCAGATTAACATTCATTTTAGATTTTGTTAAAAATTGATACACATGTCACCCACGTGTTGCTCTTGGGCAAAAATATAAACTTACAATTCATATATTTTGGTGATATGTACATCAATTTTTAATGGAATCTTAAATAGATATTAGTCTGAGGGTCACAATAAAATCAATTTCTAACATGTAGGGTACAATATGAAAAAAATAATCTTTAAAATTAGAATCCAAACATTTTTTGGGTTGCAAGGTCCGAAAAGACCTTTACATAATGAGACTGCAACTTTCTCCCTAGGTGGTTATGATCTTTAACTAAGACTGTTAAAGAAATACGAAAGCTAATTGATTTAACTATTTTAGTATTGGTTTATTTCCTCCCACTTTTTTTTTTGTTGGTTGGTAAACAGACCCTTGGGAAGAGTTTCTCGGTGCTTTGCATGTGCAAAATGAATTCTTTATCCAAGTACCGTAGCCCACTTGCCATGAATCTAAGCAAAATGAGTTGTGTTTCAAATCAATTGTCTGAGGCATAGATCTCAAGGAGAGAGAATATATGCATGTGCATCAAATAACTATGTCAATGATACGATTTTCAAATCACAAATTTGATCTGTCACATATGAAATAATATTTTTTATAAGAATTCAAACTCAGATCTATTATATTATATTTTTTAAATTCAAAATTTCATATTATATTTTTTACTTACAATATTCACAGTAAAATTCATCAGAATGATCACCAAAAAGAGGCTAACTCAAGGTAAGTAAGAGGCTATTTGTCACATTTGTACTTGATACCATGTGGGAATAGAGCACAGTGAGAGGATATATAGAATTTACAAGTATCACATCCAAATCTAATCCCTGAGAAAGTAAGGCCACCTGAATTGCACATATATACTCTGAACTTTCACCTCGAGTATACCAATGTGATTTATAGAGAGTTAACTTGCCTTCCTTTTGTGTTATGTCCATTAAAATATTCTATATTAAATATTAGATCGAAATAATTGGGTTTTTCTTCAATTTTTATGTATTTGCGATTACTAATACTTGTCTTTTATGTATTTCTATGCACAGTTGGTCCCAAACCCCGAATAAAGGAGGAGGCTGGCTGCGTTTCATAGTTGATAGTCAGCATTAAACTCATTAAATCAAACATAAATATGAATACAATGAATAAAATAGCGGAACATGATTCGTGTATTGGACCTTATAAAGGTTAGGATAAGATTTGGTTAAGTTGAGTTGAGTCGGTGAATTTCTTTATTTAATGCTTTTGTTGTCTTGGAATTTACGCTCCATTTTATTGCCGTGGACGAAAATGAAAAATAAAAGAAAGTTGGCTAGTTTTTTGTGAGCAAAACAAAGATGCCCAATGTGCGAGAGAATCAAGAAAAGTAGTGACGGTACCAAAGGGTTTTTTTTAATTTCACCAGCAATATATTAAATGTCCACTTGTATACGATTTGATTAAGATTAAGCAATAATTAATTGAAAAACGTCGGTGTAAATAATATATGAATAATTGCATAATTTGTTTTGTTTTGTTTAGATTTAGTGATGCAAGTAACAACAACCACACGGCCTATTGGCAAACTTCGTGTCACATCGATTTAAAATATTTATTGACAATATAGATTACTGTCGGGTTATACATTTTGAAAAAATTTAGACGCAATTTTAAAAAAAAATAAGTGGTAAAATTAATTATAAATGATGCAATGAAAGAAATGAAGAAATAAAAAATTATTACTTAGTATAGTAGGATCAATTTTTGAACGCTCGAATCTTATGTTTAATCCTACCTTTGCTAATATATTAATATGACCCAATAAGAATCCGAATAAAATTATACATATCCGTCTATGTATTAAAGCACAAAAAGCCATATGACCCACCCCTTTCCTGTCTCTGCCACTGCTACTTTTCCCCCTCTTTTTTTTTTTTTTTTTCACTTTTTGTTGTTGAATTAAGTGGATAGATGATGAAATTAAATTAGAATTATTGGAATTGGGTGATTTATTGATGATACTGAACTGAAATTTAATAATAATTTGGTGAAATTTTTTATTGCTTGAGGTAATTTTATAGAAAATTATTTTCTTCGGATCAAATCGACTTATTTGATTGAATGTTTTATTATTAACAAATTCAAATTTCAGTCAGGTTATTGGTTCGGATTCGAATTCAATTTTTTTTGACGGATTAGGATTCGGATTGACTGAGATCTGGTACGAATCCAATCTGTTTACAGGCATGAATGATGGAAGAAATATTATACTGTTTTAGAACTATTTTGTTTTCTTCGTACAGGTACAACTGTGAGTAGACAAAAGCAATTCTCCAACTAATCATACATTTCCCAATTCCACCCGAGAGCAAATACTTTTACCAAGAGCAAGATTTAAATGATTTACTGCCACAACTTAAGCAGATCCTATAATTACATTCTAGACATTCTAAAATATATACTGTATTCTTACCGCACTTACTACACTTGATATACGGATTCTTTTTTTTAAGAAACACGAGACGGTGAGGGTGATCTATAATTTGAACGGTGCCACCAAACTTGTAGTTTATCCAGAAATCTTCGATGCAGTTAAGATGAAATGACTGATCGCAATCGCGACAATGATATATCCAAAAATTTGGATTTATTTCATCCTCGCAATATTCGCAATGAAACTCATCTGGATGGTCAAAATAAGGAGGATAGGTCAAGGTGAGAGGATGTTTGTCCCATCTGTGGTTGATAATATGTGGGAGTACAACACAACGGGTGCATATATAGAAGTTGCATTTATCACATCCGAATCTAATCCCAGAGAAAGTAAAGTCACATGCATTGCAATTATACTTCGAACCTTCACTTCGAAACAAGGGGTGCTTGTGGCCTTTATGTGCATAAGCTTCATCAGCTAAACACGCACATTTGATGTCAAGAAAGAAGTGACATGTTTCACATCTGTAGAAGAATCCATTGTTGTATGTTAGGCACAAGTTGCACCGAAAGGTACTAAAGATCTTATTGAAAAAAACCAAATAGAGCGGGTGTTCAAGGTGACTATGATGTTGCAACTTCGCCGGTAAGTTGATACAACTTAAATGAAGATAGTAATTGCAATGACTACTACAGCTATAAAATGGACTGGAGATTGGTTGCACACAACAGTTGCATAATATTTTTTCATCCTTTATCTCATTCTGGCCTTGCACTTCGGAAAGAGTTAGTGGATGCTCATGCCATCCTTTAGCTGTTTTTGTTCCTCCCTCTTCGAGGTCCATCTGCTCAACAAATTTTTTTATGAAATCTCCAAAACCATCGGTCACGGGTAAATGGATCACATTGGAGTCGAGAAGTTCACCCTCTCTGAAACCATACAATTTAGAATTAAAAATTTTAGTTAACAATTATAATATCATTACTAGGAATTCGTTAAACGCGTGGGGGGGGGGGGGGGGTGGAGGGAACTTACCTCACAGGCTCTGAATCTGAATATGAAGTTGCGCATTTTAGATGGACAAAATATTTACATAGGCCACAGTAATAAGCCCAACTATCTCCAACAATGAACTTACTACATAAATTGCAGTAGTGTCTGAAATTGGTTAACTGGAGGTGTCGCTTGACAAGGACAAGAGGGTGCTTGTGATCACCAAGGTTGATGGTGCTAGGTGATGAAGCACAAGTTTTATGAATCCAAAAATGGCAGGTGTGACAAGCATAGGATGTGTCCTTATCTTCTTTGCCACAACCATTACAAAAGAACGATGCTGGTCTAGATATGGCAACCATTGGGTGCTCGTGACTTGTGTGCATAATCGTGCGTTCCTCTAAGAAGCATGACATGCAAAGGTTAAATTGGCAAGAACTACAAAAGTAGTTGAACCGATGAGAAACTTTTCGACATGCATTACATACGTATGACGAAGAAGACGGATAAGGTGAACGTGCATAGAGGGTGAGAAGGTGTTGGGGGTGCACAGGGTCATTAATTTCCTGGGGGAGTTCCGCACATCTTTTGTGGAGGAAGTAATCACATTGGCTACAACTATACATAGAGTCCTCTACGATTGGTTTTTCACACCCATAGCATATAATCCTCTCACTTTCAGCCTCTTGCACTTCTTTGAGAATCAGTGGATGGTCCTTATGGCTGAAATGTTGAAGCTCCATTTTCATGCAATGGGGGTTTGTTTGCACACAAATGGAAGCCAGCAAGAGAGAGGGAGAGAAGGTCGGGTTTTAAAGGGTAAGATACCACATGAGACTTCAACTTAAGTAGATGGATATGAACAACTACTAAAGGGTTTTATTTTTTAATTTCACTAGCAATATATTAAATGTCCACTTGTAAAAGAGTTGATTAAGATTAAACAATAATTTATTGAAAAACGTCGGTGCTAATAATATATTAATAAATGCAAAATTTGTTTTGTTTAGATTTAGTGATGCAAGTAACAACCACCACACAGCCTATTGGTGAACTTCATGTCATATCGATTTGAAAAATATTAGCGATAGGTGGCACTAATATATATAGCTAAAAACCCAAAGTTGTTCAACTATCAAGACTGAAGATAAGGTCATATTCATGTGCTGTTATTTTGAGTTTGAGTTTGAGTATTCGTTAATACTAATTTAATAGGGCTTTGCTCCATAAACTTTGTCTTTTGTTTTAATTTGATTCTTGAACTTTCAATTGTCTAAATTTAGTCTCTAAACAATAAATTTCGTCTTAATTAACTCCTTCTATCAATTTTCACCGTCAGATCAGGTGGAGACTAGTCTAGTCTAATATATTTTAGTGTTGATCTAATGGTGAAAATGTACGGAATGACTCAATTAAGACAAAATTTATAATTGAAGGACTAAATTGAAACAATTAAAAGCTTATGGACCAAATTGAAACTAAAAACAAACTTTAAAGACTAACTATGATTTTTATCTAATATCTATTTTATAAAACGTAATAAATACCTTGAAAATAATTCGATAATTTTATTAATCATGTCATGTATACCGATACCAATAATTTAATATCAAAGGATTAGGCGAAGAAAAGAATAGTCTTACCAGGTCTTTTCTTATAAATTGTTTCTACCCAAGCCTCTTTCATTTGTCAGGCTTTTCTAATAAATTGTTTCTTCCCAATAAGTTGTTTCTTCCCGAGCCTCTTTTATTTTATTCGTTGGTAAACTGACGGACTTATTGAGAATTCTTTGTGCCTTACATATGCGTAAGCCACTTGACAACTTTTTCATTTGCTGGTCATTTTATATTGTTTTTTGGGGACCTAATTGATAATTATTGCTATTTTTTTTATTAATGAGACCCACAAACCACTCACATTGGAAAATTATGACCAAGTGAGGGCTGTAGAATTGATTAAATACTCACACACACATCCAAAGGGGTTGTCTGATGTGGGATATCCCCATAATTATTGCTATCTTGAATCATTGAATCTGCTGCAATGAATTGATTTCTTTATTCCATTACCATAAGCCACCCACCCTATTTTCTAATTTTTTTATTAAACATTATTAACAAGAGAAAGTGACAAGTTTAGAATTCTAGACATTAAAGATCAACAACTTGCTAGTTGTTTTATGTGGTTATAGGGACCTTACCCACAATTATTCCCGCTTTTAATCTTTGTATATGCTCAAAATGAGTTGGCATTTAATTCTAAAACGCGTGGATTTCGAAGAGAGATTAAATATACATACTTAGACACATGTGCATGTGTTTGTGCGTCTACATTAGACCATTTTTCAATAAAAACTCAAACTTTTATTTAAATTTGAGTAAAAAAAGAAGTAAAAAGTTTAATTTGGTATAGACATCTCTAATAGAAAAGCCCAAATTTAAATGAAGACAAACTCAAATTTAAAAACGGGTGAAATATGACCACTGGATCTTTAAAGAAGAATGAAATCTCGCTATTAAGGATTTGACTATGAATTTAAATTTCGCTTGATTTGAGTAAAAAAATAAGTCTCTCTTAATTTAATATAGGTATGGTCTAACATTGAAGAATATTTTTAAGAATTTTTTTACCTAAATTTAAATTTGGGTTTTAAAAGGTTAAGGATTAGAAATGCTCTTATAGATCGACAAATATGTCCTATGAAGAAAATAATGACGTGGTGCATTATTCAATGTTGTTTATGATCCAATTAAAATTCGAATCTCATTGATCATTTATGAATTAATATTTTTCAATGAGAATTTGAATCCAAATTACTGATATAAAAATACGTATCCAATTCAAACTACTGATATCTATACATCTATTTATATATACTATTTAAATATAGTTAATTGTATGACCTCTAAATCTTATATACTAATTTTTAAATTTATTTTTAAAAAAAAATATATTTTAATTTACTCATGGCAGTGTCTCTCACTCTATTTCCTACTCTTATCTACCTTTTGTCATCAAGTACTAAATTTTGTATAATGTTGAATTATTCAAAACATTCCATGTAGCTTAGATAACTACTATCACAAAAATATTTTAAATTTGAATTATTTATCCTCCTTAGCACAATAATGAGTAATTGCTCAATAATACTAAGAGTAGCGGTGGGGATGAGTGGGGTGGAGTTGGGGGTGAGGGTGACAACACGGTTGAATTGTGATGAGACTGGAAAAAGATTTAAAATACCATTTATCGCATGAGGCGTTGTTAGTACATGATATATAGCAATGTAGTTGGCTTAAATGAGCTCCAAAATCTTAAACTATTTTTTTTTTGAATATATTATTTTAAAATTATCAAATTTGGTTTGACTTTATTTCATTAGCCCTTTTTTGAATAACTAAATTCTTACTTAATAAGATAATTCATAAAATTTCTCAATTGTCCCAAATTTCTCTTCCATCATCTCTCCCTTTCCCGTCTCTCTCTCACACACATATTCTCTCTTCTCTAAATTTATATTTATTAAATACTGTAACAATCAATTTAGGCAAGAGATGGTGCTTATGAAATTTTTTCTAATCATGCACTTAGATTTGTTAATTTTAAATTATTTAATAACAATGTATCGATCTCATCAAATTAAATCATTCTCTATGGCTTATGTAACTATTCCCACACAATTACTTTATTTCGTTCTTCTTAATTCAACAATGAGGGGTAATTTTCCAAAAACAATAGGGTCGGGGTTGGGGGGAGGTGGCAATGGAGAGTGAAGGTGAGTGAGAGGGTGGGGTTGGCAGTAACGATAGTAAAATTGTGATGGAAGAGATTGAAAACACCGTAGACGCCGCTAGTAAAGATATGTGACAAAGTTAAGTGACTATTTGACTAAATGCAGTTGAAATTGGAATATAATTTGCTCAAATTAAGTTTAATTGAGTAATTGGTATTGAATCAAAATTTTTCATCACATTTCAATTCAATCCAGATGTGAACTAAAAATCTAAGAGATATTTGGATTGAATTTGAGTCGTTATATATAAATCGAATTGAATCTAGGCAAAATTCAACTCAAGTTCAATCCACAAGCACAATTATATTCACAATTTGTGTTTCAATCATTACAATTGATGAATCTCTTATAGATGCATTAATAATAGTGATCTATTGATGTATATCAAAAATTCAGATTTGAGGCCACAAGACAAGAGCTATGAAACCCCCAAATTGAATCACCCTTTCAATTTTGAATTCACAGGCCTTCCTTTGTTTTTTAGGTTTATGATAGAGCATAAAATGTTATGACGATCACAAAAAAAAAAAATATATATATATATATATATATATATATATATATATATATATATATATATATATATATATATATATATATATATATAATTTTTAAAGGTCAAGTTATAACTCAAAAAGTTATGATCGCCTTGTAATAATTTCAATTATATTTTTCTTATTAGGGATAACTGGTGCTTGAAGGCACGGTACAACGTGAATAATTTTGAGAGGATGTTGGTGACCGTTGGATGTGTTTATTTGAGACCTTCCGATGAACTTATTAAAATCTATCTTGTTTTATATTATAGATATCAAAAATCTCTATTATGCTCAATTAGATGTAATTTGTCCATTAAAAATTATAATTTAACTTTTAGAAATTATGATTTTAAGAACGGCACCGAAAAAAAAATTTCATACCATAGAGTAACCTTGTATTTAAATGGTCCAGTGAATAGAGAAGAAAACGATAACGATCCCATGTTAGTACAAAAATTCTTCCTTAATTCATTCGAGCAATGCATCAATCCCAACAGAACAAAGGCTGCTATAGGAAAACAAATGGCTTTACATCCCCTTCGGTACTTTTTTTCTTTTATTTTTTTTTGGAGAATTACACTTAGACTTTTAAAATTTATTATTTAATTACTCAGACTCTTAATATTTAAAATATTACACGCAAACTCCGTAAAGTTTGTATGCAGCGTGTACCACTTAGACCTCTGCCATTAAATGTCCGTTAGTATATTCGTTACTAAATTACACTCAGACTCCTTAAAGTTTGTAGGCGTATAATAGTTAAACCTCTTAATTTTAAAATGTTATATTTAAACAAAAAATACTTCAATAAAAGATAGAATATCAAATATTTTAAATTTTAAAACCAGAATTCATGTTCTATTGTATCATTTATCGAAATAAAATCAAAAATTAAAAGCCATTTTTTTCTTAAAAAATCATAATTAGTATAAAATTATACTATCTATTGAAATAAAACTAAAAAATCAAACAAGGAGTCTAAGTCATTCATAATAGAATATGAATTTTACAATCAAAATTTATGTTCTATTTTTTCATTTATTAAAATAAAATTTAAAAAAATATATTTTTTTCTTAAAAAATCATAATTAGCATACAATTATACTATCTATTGGAATAAAATTAAAAAATCAAATAAGGGGTTGAACTATAATGGACACAATATATTTTAGTTTTAATTGAGGTAATTTGGGGTTTAATTTGATCGTTTAAATGACCAAATTAAATTTTAATAGATAGTATAATTATATACTAATTATAACTTTTTAAGAAAAAATTAGTTTTTTATTTTTAATGTTATTTCAATAAATGTTATAATAGAACATTAATTTTGGTTATAAAATTTAAAATATTTGATATTCTATATTTTATTGGAGTATTTTTGGTCTGAGTGTAACATTTAAAATTTGAAAGGTCTAAATATTACACACTTACAAAGTTTAGAAGGCCTAAATGTAATTTATTAATGGATATATTAATAGACTTTGACAGCAGGGGTTCAAGTGTTATGTGTATAAATTTTGGAGGGTCTGTATATAATATTTTAAAAATTAAGGAGTTTGAGTGATTAAGTTATAATCTTTAGGATCTTCATATATATATATATATATATATATATAAAAAAAGTTACAAACCTTGGGGGATTTGCTTCAGAAGTCAGCGATTTTGAAAAAAACAAACAATGAACTGATCAAGTCCATTGAATAAAAAATTCCATCATTATATCCACAAAACTAAGACTTATCCAGTTGCTTTGTTTAGTTCCTCAGCTGACCTTGAGGAGCTCTGGATCAGCATCTGTAGATCTGTGAACATATTTGGACATTTTACAACAAGGGCAACTCTGCCCTAGTGCAATTTTGACAAAATATGGGGTATTTTGAATTTTTTATAAAATTAATTTTCTTTAAAAATTTTCACCTTCTAAAAAGTTTATAAAAATTGTAGAACAATTTTGTATTTGAATAATATTTTTGAAACCAAAAATTTTGAAACTTAGTTATAATAAGTCCAAGAGTTGTAGTATTTTTTAATCTTGTTAGTGCTTTAGTTATAATAATACTATTGTCCATACACATTATCAGATTATTAAATTATTTCATATTTTAATGTCAAAATAAGAATTAAGAAGTAGGCTTAAACTTTCTTCATACGACTCAATATCACAATTCTTTCTTTAGTCTCTCATTTGTCTCTAATCTTCTTTCTCCTTAGACATCAAATCACCGGTTGTTATCACTCATAATATATTTTCAAAGTCGTGACAAGTTTTGATGATTGTCATTTGATTGTTCATTTTAACTTCCCTCTCTTGATCCATACTTTCTTTTTTCCCTCCTTTTCATCTCCTAATTTTGAAATTAAAATTTAAACTTTCAAATCTTAAGATATCAAGTAAAATAAGGATGCAAGCATCACAAATTGAAGGTTGTGTATTTCTTTGTGATGGATTGAATTTTTTTCACAGATTATTACAATTAAATTTGTTCCCTTTAACTGGATCACTATAGATAAGAATTAACAGTATTAAATTACATCTGGAATAATTTGTGTCGATTGGTTATTTTTCATAGCTTTATGTTTTTAATTTACTAATGAATCATAAACTATCCCCACCACACAGCTTTATGTTTTTAATTTACTAATGAATCATAAACTATCCCCACCACACAAAAATCCTAGCTCTTCCCTGCATGTATATAACGGTTATTTTTCTATGCACGAAGAGATAGAAGAGCGATTCAAATTAGAATTTTCACTAACTCTTCCAGTATTTGGAATGGTATTAAGTTATAAAACCTTACCAATACTTGTGTTCATTCATGGGTGCATAAGGGTTTATCAAGACCCATGCTTATAGACTTACATTAATAATGTAAGCACGCCATTTTAATACCTACCCTCAGCCAATTTGTTCTTCTGCCTTGAATTTAATTTGGCTCAATCCCGGGATTACATATGTTATCTAGTCTAACGACAGATCACCGCCAATGTTGTTTCACCCTTCAAAAATTAGTAGCCTTTTAGTAGAAACACTGAAGGCAAAAACATTCATCTTCCTTTCTGATAATACATCTTCCACAATTTGTACTTGAGCACATAAAACAATGATGGTGATAAATAATTCAGTAATAGTAATGTAAGAAGAAAAACAGAAAAATTGCATAGAAACACTCGACAATATGAGTTTCTTTAAAGCTCAATCTCATTAATAAAGGGTTAAATATTACTGAGAAAGAATTGAAGTTAACCAAATATACAGAAGCACAATATGTATCAACTTACACACTTGTAGCTCACAGATAGTTTGATATCCGAGGACTAGAGGTGTGTTTCAATATTCTTTTGTTAGATTCAATGATTGTTAGATTTTTTTCTATGCAGCCTCCAATGGAAATGTAGAAACTACTTAGTGGGAGAGAAGACTTCTCAAGCCCTCTCTTTAAGAAATTGATTGTTTTGTATATATAGTACAAATTTAAGAAAAATATGAATCTTATTTGTGAACCAATTGTTGTTTTTTTTTTTTGGTTAAATTAAAAATAGAATGGTCACCCTAGATGTTACTTGTTTAAAACTATTGACAACAAATTCAAACAAAAAAAAAATGAATTGAAAACTAAAACAAAAATCAAAACATAAACAAAACAAAATTTTATCAAATGCCACCTGAATAACCACGAAAGCATCAAGAAACAATAGCAAAAACAGTGTGAAATAAAAGAATATTGGGCGAATTCTAAACAACTAAAAGACCCTACATCGTAAACAAATTCCAATCACCCAAAAGAAGAGAAGTAAAACAAAAAAACATGTGTAGCAGTAAGCACTTCAAACGAGTCAAAATGCAAGTTGAAATCATACTAGGGATGTATTGATCAAAGGATTTTAGTGTACATGCGGTGGAATTTGCCATGAAGGAGAGGTTTGACTTTGGAATTGAATGAGAAACGATACCAAAATTTATCCTTTGAACTATAATTTTTTGGTGTCAAGGTTATGAAAAAAATTAGGCTCGATCAAAGACTAATTTTTGGAGTCAAGTTACAAGGTTTTGGAATATTTTGTATCGATCTCAAGTACCACAAAGTTAATACCGGAAATATGTCTCTCAACCCTAAAGTTAATATGCCCTACTATAATAACGGAAAACTTTTTATTTGGTACCATAAACTTATCCTCGGAAGCACAAGTTAAGTTTTTAACTTTCAACCATAAACTTGAGGTCAAGACTCAAGCTCTCTTCCTCCTTTATTTCTCCCCCTCCCCCAAAAAAAAAAGAAAAAAAAAAGTTTTTAACTTTCAAGGTTGTAGGGAAGAGAAAAGGAAACAACGAAAGTGAATCAAGGCCCATACCCAGGCTGCCAGGACCCAGGCCCATTATGAATAAAAAAGGAAATAGAAAAATTATACTCTGTGCCACTAAAAGATTTCAATATTTTTATTTTATGCTCTTAAATATTAAATTTTATATATTATACCCTTAATTATAAAAATATTATAATGTGATCTTTTTGATAACTTTTTGTTAGCTTTTCTATCAATGTCAATGAGTTGTCTTTTGACGAAAAAATAACAGAAGCTAACAAAAACCATTTTTTGTCAATTTTAAAATAAAAAATTTAATTTTTGAAGATATAAAATAAGAATTTTGAAATTTTTCGGGTTATAAAAGAAAATCTGGAAAATGAACTTTGTGAAATCGAACTCACTCCCGAGTCCTGACCATGGCTTCTGAACCACCATCACCACCTTCGACTCAGCAGCCAAAAACCCCAAATATGGCGTAAACCCTTGACTCCAAATTCTCTTATCTTAACATTCAAACCCATTCTCTTTGCATTCTGCAAAAACCCTAAATGTCTCCACCAATGATCTAACCTTGCACAAGATTCTGAGGTAAGATCATAACCACCTTGCTTTATATCCACATTTTATTTGTAACTTCTTATATCAATCAATATTTGATTGAAAGTCATCACTTTTTGATTGCTTTGTATAGTTAAGTATCTGAATTTGTCTGATTTTGGTTTTTTTTTTTTCCAGGTAAGAGGAAGATTAAGGATGAGTCAACCATCTGTGATCCTTGCAACGGCTAGCTATGATCACACTATTCGGTTTTGGGAGGCCAAAAGCGGGCGGTGCTATCGGACCATTCAATACCCAGAATCTGTCAGTCGGTGAATCCTATTTTTATTTAGGTTTCAATGTTGTCTGATATGAACACATTCTTTATGCATATGTGTGCGCGTGAGTGTGCGTTTCTTGATTGTTTGTTGGGATGGGGTGAATCCATAAGTACGTAACTTCACAGTTTTTTAGCTGTTTCATTTTTGTTTGGTATGATGTTCCAACTTTTTGAAAATGGAAATGTGTACATGTGTATGAATGTGTGTGAATGGCGGGAAGAGATTGAATATTGTTGGATTGGAAGATGGGTGATTGGAGATGGTTGGTGCAGTAAAATCCCAGCTGAAATTCTTTATTTTGACACATTGATTATTTGTACCGAGATTTAGCATGTGGATGATGCTTTGCCAACAAGTGATTTGTTACAATTTCTTACCAAAAAAAAATAGGCTAAGAGTGCTTTGAAAATTCACAGAACCGCAGTGAACATTTAACATTGGAAAGGACCGTAAATATGATAGCTTGGGTTTGTGATTGGAGCATTGGTTTTTTCACATTAAATATTTCATTGTATTAGCTGGAAGATATGTGGCGAGAATTTTTTTGTGTTTTATTCTTCCATAAAGCTTTAGATGGTGGTTGATAAGAAAATTTCATTGGTTTGGACGATTAGTGGTGCAAATAAATCGCTGGCTTATGTCCTAACCCGAGCTTCCCTCAACAATGGGCTTTTGAGGTTTAACCAGACTAGTTAAATTGAGCTGCATTGGAGCGCCTCTATTTGCTCAAAAATGTTGTATATACCTCGCTGGCTTGTTTGTGTAAACGGAGGAACATAATGCACATTTGGATGAAATTCTACATGCTATGGAAGTGGGTACTAGTCACAATCATCCATGATCATGCTCCGTTAAACTTTTAGCTTTTGACTTTTATTATCAGATGGAAGGCTACAATCTTTCTTGAAATTTGAGTTTTCATGTCACATCTACAATTAGTGGCCAAAAGTTTGGTTTCAATAGGGTTTTCATAATTTATAGTTATTACTTAGAGACTCGAAACATTTAAGATTTATGAAACATGGATACTTCGTTCGTGGTGACATATCCGATATGTATCAGATACTCACGGATACATATTTGATACGTATCAGATAGAGTAATTAATAACATATTTATCGTTGTTAGATACTTGTCGGATTCACCATGGATTCGTGTATCTCTACGGTGGATACATTCGTCTCATACTTAGTGAGGTGGATTGTGTAGAAACCATGAATTATATAAATGGAGATTCGTTGTTTCAAGACGTTCATTTGGATGTACATCACATATGTCACAAGTTTTGTGAAATCTTTACAATTTGTTTGCCCTGAATAATGAGTTTTTATGACTCAAGTCAAAGTCATTGAAGTTTGTTTGAATTAAAAGTAAAAGTTGAGGACTCTCAGAAGGGAAAACATGTTTAACTTTAGAATTACATAGAACATTGGATTCAAAACACCAAGTAAACAATCCCTATGTCAGCAACATAAAATTATTTTAGTTTAGGCCATGTTTTATATCTTAATCTCTCATACCCCTAGTATTGTTGTAAAATCCTGTAATATATATATATATATATATATTCTATTCGTAGTCATATCTTACTTTTTAAGATTTTGTCTTATTGTCATCACTATCTCATACCCAAATTTCATATTCGTATATGTGCTTCCTAGTGTAAGGTATTATCCATCCTTTTGTTGGAATTGCTATCGAAGTAAATTCTTATGCATATTTAGTTTTTGTTTTCTGGTTGTGGAATCTTATTTACCATGTCATGTGCGCAGCAAGTAAATCGGCTTGAGATAACGCCAGATAAGAAGTACTTGGCTGCTGCTGGAAATCCCCACATTCGGTTATTTGATGTTAATTCGAACAGCCCTCAGCCTGTACATCTCTATCATTTTATGCTTTTTGCTATTGGTTTTGTGGATTCATTTTTTGTTTGCCACCCCCCAAAAAAAAAAAAACCCCACTCACAAACACAAAAAAAAAACCTCAACCCTCAAGTAAAATCAAAAACAAAAGCAATCCACTGGGCTGATTAAATCTTTTCTTTGTCTTCATGTTAGGTGATGAGTTATGATTCACATACTAGTAATGTTACGGCAGTGGGGTTTCAGTGTGATGGAAATTGGATGTATTCAGGTTCTGAAGATGGCACGGTAAAGATTTGGGATTTGAGGTACATTAATTATCATGCAGAAATGTAGTCCTTTTTTTTTTTTAAATGATTAAATAGGAATTATATCTATTCTCCTTTGGATTGAAAGCAGGGCTCCGGGTTGTCAAAGGGAATATGAAAGTCGGGCGGCTGTTAATACTGTTGTTTTGCACCCAAATCAGGTCATGTAACTGATCATTCAATTGGTTTTGTGGATGTAAACTTTTTCACCCTACCTGAGGACTTTTTAAAATCAAATGTGACCTTATTGTATTGTCGTTTGCGAGTACAAATTGTTGGAAATTTTAATTGCATGTTCCGCTAAGATATATACTAACTCACATATTTGTCGATCTAAGTAGAGGTTGGAACCCTAGAAAACTGGCCAATTATGACAATTTCTGGTTGTATTTGTAGAATCCTCTTAACTGAACATGGAGAAGGATTTTGGTTCACAAACTTCTATGAATTGGGTGGAAGTAAATGAATGGGTAATCACTTGATATGATTTTTAAGTTGTTTTGTACTCTAGTTGCCACTTATTCTGTTCATCAAACTGCCTTACATAGGCAAATTGTGCCTGGTTTTCTATCAGGAATTTGACTTGGGTGTGAATGTTTTAGGTCTATTATTAAAGGTGTCAAAATGACCCAGCATGCACTTTAAACTGGATGAGTAGAATGTTGAAAGCAGCTATGGCTCCATGTCAGTCCGTCATTCTGCTTTCTTCCCATGTGTTTAGTCTATCTGTGTACAAAGTTATTAGGAACTAGTAGCTTTCTGTCCTTTTGCTACATGTTTCTAATTGGACTATTAAATACTTTGTTTCTGTTTTTGGTACTACTCTATGCATTTAAGTAACATTCCATGCTGCTTGAGGTCATTAGTCTAACATTCTTATCTAACAGTAGTTTTGAGCCATTGCAGACTGAACTGATATCTGGGGACCAAAATGGCAATATTCGAGTATGGGACTTGACGGCAAATTCATGCAGTTGTGAGTTGGTATGTACTGATGTTCTGTACCTTCACTTCATATTGCATCTCCTGCTTTAAACCAGAGTCACAATCAAAAGTTGATGAAGTGGTCCTTTGCTTTTCTATATTTTGTTGCTCTATATTTTGATAAGAAAACTTAAGCGCTTTGATGGGCACAAAACTTTGTTTCATTGTCTTGGTGAAAATCTATGGTTTTTATTATATTTTATTTGGTGGGTATGTGGATGTTTGCCTTCTAATGCTCTCTCTCTCTCTCTCTCTCTTTTAAAGAGGTAGTTATATATCAAAATTTTTTTATTACCTACGGTGTAAACACAGGTGCCGGAGGTCGATACAGCTGTAAGGTCTTTGACAGTAATGTGGGATGGAAGCTTGGTCGTGGCTGCAAACAACCGTGGAACATGCTATGTTTGGCGCCTGTTGCGAGGAACACAAGTATTATTTTTATGAATATAAGTCTCAGATGTTATATTCATTGAAAGTTATGAAATTATTATTTGAAACTTATATTGTGTCCTGTTGCAGACTATGACCAATTTTGAGCCACTTCATAAGCTGCAAGCTCATGATGGATATATTCTTAAGTGTCTCCTGTCACCCGAGTTCTGTGAGCCCCATCGGTTAGATCTCTTGACTTGCCTTTCTCCCGCCCTCTCTTTTTTTTCCTCAATATTTGTTTATATCAGCTTTCATCCTATTGGTAGTCTTAGTGTAGAGACATTTCTTTTTTGGATTCATTTTTTGAAATGGCTCTTTCTAGGTACCTAGCCACTGCATCTTCAGACCATACTGTGAAAATATGGAATGTAGATGGCTTCACCTTGGAGAAAACTTTAGTAGGTATGTGTCAGGGCCTCACCTCATCCAAATGTTCACTCTGTTTCGTTTACTTTTTTAGTTCTCATACTAGTGGTATCAATCTTATTGGTTTTTCCAGGACATCAACGTTGGGTTTGGGATTGTGTCTTTTCTGTAGATGGTGCTTATCTTATCACAGGTATGACTATGGAAGTATGGGAAAACCTGAAAGCCAAGTGGTCCTCAGAACGAACACCTTATTCATTATAAAGGAGTGAACAAATATATAACCAGTACCCAAATGACGGGTCCTTGGGTACATACGACCCATTCAGAATAGCTTATTGCCTGCTATTTTATTCGGTTAATTGCCACTGGGATTTTCTCTTTTGAGAAAAGAGAAAAATTATCTAAATTGGGGAAAAGAATACCATTGCCCAATTTGTTGCTTATTAACGGAGGGTTTTGAGGGTGGCAGACAGAGTATAGACTCTATAGACGTGATCTTTGGCACTAGTTGCCCAAAATGACTACCCTCCTATCTGAACCCGTAACCTTACCCAAAGATTTGGATCCAAGTTATAATACCATTTATTGCACTTCATCTTTTTTCTTTTTCTTTTTTTTGAGAATATCCACTTTATCGTAGATTATAGTTTTAGGCGTATTATCCTTTTGCACAGATGCAGCTCTTACATCCTACATACAACTTCAAGATGTAAGAATGCTAATATCATGTCGAATCTACTTACAATCCTAAATCACTTCTGTTTAACCAGCTGTTTTATCCTCTATGTTATGATGGCTTATAACCATCTCTTTCCTTGTTGAATAGCATGATGACATATTGAAGTTATGCAGTTCAAAATCCAGTATCATTTGATTGTTCTATTTATGAAGTGAGGCTCATAAGATGTCTCAATGCTTGAGAAACCATTTTTATAGATTTTTGCTTTAGTCTAAAGGTGCTTTCAAACTGAATGGGGTCCCCATCTGTCGCTGTTCTAAATATCTCAAGTTTTTATCCATGCAGCTTCTTCTGATACAACGGCAAGGCTTTGGTCTATGTCTACAGGCGAAGATATTAGAGTGTATCAAGGGCATCATAAAGCCACAGTTTGCTGTGCTCTCAATGATGGGGCAGAACCCTCCTCATGCTGAACCTGAAATAAGACTAATCTTTTATTGAAATGCAAAATCCTCCAGCACCTTCCCATTGCACTTGCTTGTGCGTGCATCTGCAAAATATGTTCGCTATGTCCAGGGGAGAGAAAATTTTGTACTTCTATGGTTACTTCCCGTTTTAGATTGCTGCTTGGTTTGGGGTCCCCCTATCTTTATTTTGTACAGATCTAGTCTTGTACAGAATGCAGGTATCTGTTGGTCCCGTCGGAACCTTTACAGAGATCACTACATTGACAATAATTGATATTTGAATATTAGAAGCTGATTGCTGAAACCGGGATACAGTTGTTCTATTGTCATATTGGTGCATTTGGTTTCGTTGTCAAATCTTTACTGGAATTATCCATTGTGATTATAATTGCAGTTGAAGAGGAAAAAATGGTTGATTTTGACGGAATTGATATAATTGCCTTTGATCATAAAAAAACAATCTTCATTACTCTATCCCCCCCCCCCCCCCCCCCCACCCCCATACGCACATATATAAGATCAATGCATGCCGCCAGCAGTTCGAATTCGTGTTCTAGTTCTATTTTTGTAGACCGGATAGGACCTAACAAACTCTCTATGTTCGTACCTGTACCTAACAAGTCAGAAGTGTCCCTTAGTCCGAGTTATTTGTTCTAGTTGGGACAATATGGGACCGCACTTCATTGCTGTCACTGAAAAATAACAAAAACATAACCACCCTTTGCACTTCATTCTCATCACCCTCAAAAATAGCCACATGACACAAACATACAATAAAAAGCCATTTCAACCCCTCTTCTTTTACAATGGCAATATTTCTCAAGAGCACAAATTTTTTATGGAAAATGAGATCGAAATCGAAAGAATATATCTTCAATCGAGAACAACTAAAAGGATATCCCCTTGAAAAAGCTACTCCTGCAGGGTGCATTTGAAAATGAGCAAAACACACCCCACCCCACCCCCCCACCCCCCCACCCCTCTCAACTAATGAACCACAGGTTCCAAAACTCTCCTTGGAAAAATTGCCAGAAGCCAGCCCGTGAAGACTTGAAGTTCTAATCCTCAAAACTTGAAGACTGAACATGTGTTTCAAAAACAAAATACAAAATAAACTCAGTTAACAAAGAAACCTTTCTACTTCCACTACGGACGATCAATGGAGGTGGCCTACTCTTGAAGGCATAAGCAAAATTGAACTCCATTGGAATAGGATCATCCAAAACTGCAGTAGCTAACATAACTTCTACTTCAGAAGCTCAAATACAATTCATAACAATCAAAAAAAGCTTATACAAGCACAAACCAATACCAATTTGCTACAATAAACTCATGCCACCAAACTGATAACTGTGTTTTAAAGATATGAATCCCTAACACACGGGAATAAATAATTCCAGTACCAGAAGCGTCATTTCATCACTAAAATGGAGGAGTACTCATTTGTATATAAGGGCATCACGTCCAGGTCCAATGCCAATGTAATGGATGGGAAGACCAACAAGTTCTTCTATCCTTTCCACGTATTGACGTGCAGCCTCTGGCAGATCGGAGTAGTTTCTGATAGAAGAAATATCACAATGCCACCCAGGCAAAACTTCATATTCCACCTGCACACGCATAAATGAAAAACAAAATATTTAAAGGTAAAAGTAAATTTACATTTTAACAAGATATCCCTCAATCCAACTGGTGCCTTAGGCTACTGACAAAAGCGAAGCTACTAAGGAGTAGTTACCAGAGTTCAATCTCGACATCATTGGTTGACAATCAAAAAAAAAGATATCATCTATCCATTAGGAGAAAGAAACCTTTGGTGCAATCATCATGATACAATTTTACAGAATCCAAGAGGATCTAAAATATAAGCGTTGAGCTATGCAGTAAGAGGTTGCCCTCTCCCAAACACAACCCCAAAACTGTACGAAAGGCAGGGTCACTTATACTGTTATACAATTAAGTTTTACATCTTTAGAATTAGAACAAAATGGACCAAACACATTTGGCACATCCAAAATTGTCTTTTTGTGCTGGCATTGAGTTCCATTCACCAGTTCGGCGGACTTGATAAAATGGCAAAATACTTAATCCTTTATGCTACCCTAACTTGATATATGGGCTCCAAGAAAGAGTGAAAGGAAAAGATAATGATAAAGAGACAATCTTTTACCTCCAACTGCTCGAGAACACGAAGATCTGCAGGGAATGATTTAATTGGCGTACCATCACTTTGTTTGTAAGAAACTCCCAGCTGAATTTCAGGGAGATCCGACAATACATCAAGTTTAGTGAGATTAAGTGAAGAAAAGCCATTAATCTGACAGCAATATTTCAGCGCAACTATGTCAAGCCAACCACAACGACGAGGACGACCAGTAGTTGTGCCAAACTCCTGCCCTGCAAATCTGAGAAGGTCACCCCCTTTATCCAAGATTTCAGTTGGGAAAGGGCCCGAACCAACTCTTGTAGTATATGCTTTAACCTGCACTGAAAATGTCAGTTGGCACCAAACTTTCCACGCTAAACAGGTTCATTGTTCCAAGTGAGAAAATTTGAGTAATACTTTCTATTTAGATACAAATTATTGGAGTGTCTGTCCAACAATATCAAATAAAATGTGTTCTCAAAAAAGCATCGCACAAACATGAAAGCAATAACGAAAAAACTATCCTTGCACTGTGAAGGAAAGAAGTGATCATAGGATTATCCACTTACCACTCCTATTAGATCACCAACAACTCTAGGAGCAATACCAAGACCAGTGCAGATTCCACCAGCTGATGGACTAGAGGAAGTCACAAAGGGGTAAGTTCCAAAGTCGATATCCAACATGGTTGCCTGACCACCTTCCACCAAAATTGTCTTCTTTTGAGAGATTGCTTCATTCATATAATGTACCGTATCAACAATGAAAGGTTCCAACCTCTCTGCAAATCTCTTGTACTTCTCAACTTCTTCCCTGAGCATTTCAGGGCTATAGGTAAAACCCTTGAACCTTGAAGCTGCGTCTGACAACAAAACATCAAGCTTCTGAGGGAAAGTATCCATATGCCTCAAGTCACTTACCCTGATGCCATTCCTGATAACCTTGCTTGAGTAACAAGGTCCGATGCCTCTCTTGGTAGTGCCAATAAAGGAATTAGCTAGCTCGGCTTCCCTAAGACCATCTACCACTTGATGATAGTCAAATAACAAGTGAGCACGATCAGATACCAAGATCCTTCCACTGCAGGAAACTCCATTAGATTCGAGGCCATCAACTTCATTAAACAATCCAGGTAGATGGACCACAACTCCATTACCAATAACACAGAGTGTTTCCTCATTAAGAATCCCTGAAGGAACAAGGTGAAGGGCAAACTTCTTGCCCTCAGAATTGTAAATAGTGTGTCCCGCATTAGCTCCACCCTGGCATCATGTAATGTTTAATGCTTTTCAGAGTACAAAACATAATTGCAACTCACAAAAACATAGTGGTTTATTATATACAAAATCCCTACAGTTATGTAAACTATCAAAAGAAAGTCTTTCTGCAGTCTGGAAGAAGTGCAATCAAATGAACTTAAACCATCTTCCAGCTTTCTGCAGATGTTAAGTATTTACTGTTTCCCCAACAGCACCCAATTTCCCAATCATATGTAAGCACTGCTTTCTTTTTCTTTATTTTGAAAAAATAAAGGCCAATCACATTTTTTACATGTAGAAACTCTAAACGATGAAACTTGAAAATCTATGCTAGGACAAAAACATATTGAGGAACACTCAAGTAAAAGGTTGGGAAAATGCCATGTCAATTACCTTAACAAGTGTCCTATCAAAAAAATTTCCTTTTTTCAGTGTTAGACAAAAATCGTGCCACCACCCAAAAATAGTATTCTATGCATCAATTCAAGAGGGGAACAGTCACTCATTATATGCTAGCTTCTACAGGTCAACAAATCATAAGGTGACACTTCTATGCTATACAAGCAACTATCTATCGATACGAAATGCGCATGGACACTGCTGGTATGCTTACCTGACTGGCATTTGATATATTCGTGTAGAATGAAAAAAGAAAAGGAACTGAACACACTATGTTCTACCTTGCCATATTAAATGCAGCACAAAGAGAATCGTGCAAGCTCAGAGAATGCACTTTGACAACTTACAATATATCTATTCATGGAAAAGATAATAAAATCTATTTTCATGGAAAAGATGATAAAATCTATTTGGCCACCATATTGTAATTTTTACCGATTTCAGGGACCAAGTATGCAGAGGCAAAGCCAGAATTTATCTTCAATGGAGTCCACCAATAGTAGTGGATGCAAACACTAAATGTAGTTTTTTGTCATTCGAAAGTCAACTTCATTGTAATACATTAACACAATATCATCACCAAGGTCAAGTCTATTTTTCTTAAAAATTTAAGAACTTGCTTTACTTTTTTGTGTTTTTCTTAGTATTTCTTTAAATTGAAACAAAACAATAGATGCTCTCTGTCCATTAAACTAAACCATGACATTTTAGAGTGAGTTTTAAATTTTATTTGTTTTGATACATTTTCTTCACCTTCTCATACATAATTTTGAGTTTACATATAACATAAAAATGGTATGGTATATACCTATTCCATATGACATCCAATACCCGGTTCAGAATACACACGCTATGTGCCTATTCCATTTTACACCTAATACCCAGTTCAGAATACACACGCATTAATGTATGTGGGAAAACCAATAAACCCTAAATTTCCCAAGAAATATTGAATTCACGTACACATACCTGACAGCGAGCAACGACGTCGAAGTGTTTCGCCAAGATATCGACGAGCTTACCTTTACCTTCATCACCCCATTGAGAGCCCAACACGCCCGAGACCTGACTCAGTGACCCGATTCGACTCAGTTTAGCCTCACTCACCCCCTGCTCCACCACTGCCGACGACGAAGAAGAAGCAACGGGCTTTACAGAGCACACGACGGCCCTCCTGTGTGGCCCACTGGTTCTGTAGGTTCCACGGCCATATCTCTGTCGAGCTGTGGATATAGGGTTGGAGTCGAGACGGAGAGATGAGAGGTTCATAATGACAGTGGTGGTGTTGACTGCTCGAACCAACGGAGAGAGAGAGAGACAGGAGAATGTCGAGGCTTTTGGAAAATGATTGACGCGTGGGTCGGATAGGGGATGGACGTTAACCAACCTCGACGTGAATCCAATTTAACCCGCTTTTCAACCCTAACAATTTTCATTTTTTTTTTCTTTTTGTTTCATTAATTTCGCGGGGCTTGTGTTGAACCCGAAACTCTAATCTGAGTATTATCTGAATTTATTTTAGATTGCGATTTTTTTTGTTCAACTCCAACTCAAGTATTAAAATATTCGATCCAAATATTAAAGAAATTTGAGCTAAGTTTCAATTAAATTCGAATTAATCCACTCAAATTCCACTATTACTTTTCTTGGTCACCTGAGTGTGATGAGTTGGCAAATTGAGTGCATCGAATCCAATCGTGTTTGTGTGTCAATTTGGATTTATGTTGGGAACTTGATAATTTTAATTTAATTAATTTTATAAGACATAATCCATATAATGACAAAATGCATAAAAAAAATCTCCTATTTATAAAAAAACTAAAATTACTTCAACCAACTTGTTACTTTCAATTTCAACATCACCTTTTCCACGAAATTATACTATTTCTTGGTTCCTTGCCCAATTGCCCTCGCCATGGAGAAATACATATTTTGGGCAATTAGGCGTGTCAATTCATATCAAATCATGTCATTTTTGTATTGTGTCATTTGAGTCATGTTATTTTTTGGTCATTCCATTTTAATTTGTGTCATGTTGTATTCATGTTAATAAAAAATTATATAGTTCTAAAACAACTCATATTATATACCTCAATTCTACTTACAATCCCAATTAATCATAATATTCAAGCATAACTTTGAACTGACTCATTTATTATTCGTGTTAATCGATTTTCTTGTTGTATTGGATTCGTGTTAATAGCTAAAATAGACACTCTTGTTGGACATTTTGCAGCATAGCGTAGAGTCCACGCTAGAAGAATCGACTCACCATCCAAATAAACAAGAACCCACTCCTAGAATCATGTGAACAACCATGAAAGCAAAACAAAGTACCTCAAGAATGCTCACCTAGAAAAGAAAAAAATTATCTCAAGAACCACTTGAAAATACTCAAACGAAACTTCTACTCAACTCAACACAACAAAACTTTTACCGTCTTAGTGAAAAAATTCCATAATAAGATGTATGTGTTAACCAATTATATCATTTCATAAAGATCTAACGCAGCTCGATAACAAAGTTGAGCCTTTACTAGCATGACACCATGATATCATGATGCTTTTCGAGAAGAAACACAACACATCCAGTGGAATATGTACCATTGATTTCCAAGGTTTCGTTACAGCTCTTCATGCTGATCCTATCAAGCATTCTCTGGGTAATCCATACTCCTTTTTCCCATGAAGCAGTTCCTGTCTCCAAGGGTCATTATGTAACTTGTAGTGCAAAACCTACTCAAAGCAAACAATGGTTTTAAGCATCAGCTAAGATTATTCTCGATTTATTTTCGGTAGAGAGAGAGAGCATCAGCAGCAGCAGCAGCACATACAAAAAGTTGAGTTTAATTGCGGAAAAAGATAGCTTTATAATGGTTACGAACAAATCTGAGCAGCATTAAGTTACAACATCAACTGAAGGGGTTGTTAGCTCAAGTGGTAGCCTGCCACTGGATAAATGCCTTAAGTTGGCATTGGTCAAGAGTTTGATACTCAACAAGGTGTAAATGCTTCTTAGGGCCACCACCCCTAGATTTAACCTCTGCCCGTGGAGAGGAGGCTTTGCGTGTGGGCCCAAGTTGACTACCGGCCACAGGTCCAAATGGGCTCAGTTGGTAGGGGATTCTTGGGTTATCAAAAAAAAAAAAGTTACAATATCTAAACCTCCAAAATGCACAGTAAAGTATCTCGCTAGCAAATTTTTACTGAAGATTTTAGATGTCTGATGTATATTTCTGCAAGTTTCTATTTGAAGAAGTCGGTAATTATTAACTTAAGAACTGCTTCTAATATCCATCGCTTTTAAGACACAAGAAAAATATTGCCAAATAATTCAATCAAATTGTAACATTCCAATTGTTCCAAAAGCATGATATGGTGCAAATGGGGTCACTCAATAGATACTGGAAGAGGAATGAAGTCACTTGACAAAGGAGAGGAAGGAAAGGGATAAGTACTCAAAAGTCAGGTTGTAAAATAGTTCAAGGAGAACCAAAGGTCATGCATCATTTGCCGAAATCACCTCTGCTATCCCATTTCATTCTATTCAAAAGGCAAGCAGCCATTGAACAAAAAGGTCCTAAGAGGAACTCCTTCATATATTAAATAAGCCCTGAAGTCAGTAGCCGGGAAAGCCGAACTTAAAACTTGGTAAGAATATGTTTTGGCATGACCCTATCTTATCAGTTAAAAGCGCTCAACCACAAAATTTTATAAGTTTTGAAAGCCATTTAAGGAAAGCCAATTCTTATGTGACCTTTTGATCAAGAAAAGAGAAAACTATGCAGGGCCCAATGCCTATAAACTGCAAAGATTAAACTCTGATACTACAAACCTGTATGAATGTGGCAAAAACATCGTCCTCAGTCAGTTGGAGAAGCTCTAAGGCCCAGTCCTCCACATGTCCAAATTCAGTTTTCTGCCTCTCGGCCTCGAGCAAAATAGAATCACGATACAAGAATCTCTGCCAGATCTTCTGTACATTTGCCAACTTGAATTGTATCTCTCTCTCATTGATTCCCTACAGGAAGTATAGCTCACCATCTTACATCTTCTGCCAAACGTTGATGAGAAATTGATTGACCAGTAAGATTCTGTAAGCACTTATAGGCAGCAAGCAATTACCCGGAGAATATTTATCATGTTTGGTATTTCATCTTCACGTATCCGAATAGTGAAGATCTCATGGTTGAGAACATTCTCATATGGCAGGAAAATTCCATCCTGATAAAATTCAAATAAAAAGGGAATCACTCGAGTATAAGTTGTGAGAGCCGAAGAGTAGCAGGTGATTAAGATTCAAACGAAGGATTTCAACTGATATAACAGTTACTCAGAGGTGCTCGAGCCTTTAGAGTTTTGTAATGGGTTGAAACAGCATCCCTCCTAACTAAGATGCGAGAAGGGTGCAAACCAAAATTCAAAGGACCTAGAGGCCACAGCTAATAAGCAGCTTACAGCTCGTGATGAGCTACATAATATACCAATGCCGATGTACTTTGGCTAAGAGTAAGCGGAGAAAAAAAAAACTACTTAAGAACCAGATAACCTGAATGATCACAGGGATGCAACCTTGCAAAATACTATCTTCCATTCGTCCACTCCACCCATCTCCAGGCATGACTCCACAAAAAATAGAACTTGTCAACTCCTCATGATAATTGTCAGAACGAAGGGGTGTCACAATCACATCGTCTGCATGCTGTTTTCCAAGCTTCCCTTCCTTGTTAGGGCTTGATCCAAACTCTTCTGCCACCTTCTGCCTGATGCCCATGCTATACCTGAATAACAACACCCAACCGTTCAAATTCTTAAAGATAGGAAACACACCTTTTAACTCCATTTGGGATACTGGTTCATCTGTACAGCTGGAAATGACATGGCCCACACCACCAATAACAAGTGTGTTAAACAGAGCAGTGATGAGTTTCCAAAAGACTGGCAGTCCAAATGTTATTGCACCAAATGGTTCCATAAGACATCCAATCCCCCCCCCACCCCCCAAAAAAAAAAAAAAAAATTAAAATTTGAATTCCTGCTGTTAGACCCCTTAGTCCACGTACTTAGATTCTGGCCTTCCATTTTCGTAAGCTGGTCCTAAGTTTCCATTAAAGTAGAAAAGTGTCCTCCGCTTCTCACGAGGCCTGCAGATGTAGCACACCATCTTTGTTACAATATAGTGAAATGAGGAAGGGCGGTGCAACAAAGCAACGAGATTGAAGTGGACACCTGTGCAAAGTAGCCTACCAACAATACTTTGACAATACATTTACCTAGCCCAAAGATTAGATCTCAGAGAATCTTCTTTTGGCCGCTTCCATGCAGGAAGGACAAGATCTTTATCAGGCTCAAAGCATGGATGGTTGCCTCTTCTGTCAAAAGGTATATGATCCCAGTTGTCAGCCCAATATGCTGTTGTTGAATGGTTATATTTTGAATTTGTATTACCCCAGTGCACCAACATCATGCTATTCCATATCTCCTTTGGGGCATAGCAAGCACCTTCATCCCATGAAAAAAACTGCCTTGACACATAAAGACAACATTGTTAGCAATTGCAAAAATGCCATACCGAGAGAGAGTTTAGCCTTCTTTCTCAGCTGTTCTCTCACACCGGAATAAATTTTCATCCACATCATTACCCAGATATGATCTCTTCCTGAAGTGCGATTCCAGTATGGATATTGCGCAACAATGTGATCATGTGCCTTCTGGTAGAACTCTAAGGTTAACGAGCTCCTCAAGCCATTATGCTCCTGAAATTTGAAGTTAAACATACATATAACGTAAAACACATTGAAGTTAACAACATAAATAGTTACTGAACTCACACATAACACATTGTGTAGAATATCTAGCACCTAGAAACACATTTCACAAAGGCATGAACAAATAATCTATGTACAACTGTACACAATATCAAACAACAGAAACTATCAAACATTAAATTGCACAATTGATTGGTTGAATAATGGCACATGGATTAGACAGACAAGACTCAATATTTTAGGCTTCAATTAGACTATAGATGAGCCTCAATAACACAGTAAGATTCCAGTATCATAAGATAAAGTAGTTAAGGCATGGAAATATGCAGCATACAAGGGATCACAAGCATTGTATAAAATGGTGTAAAAAAACCCGTTTTTTCCCGTGGATACTTCTATACCTGCATACTCAAGTGTGGTACATCATAAGCACGAGGTATAATGCACGAATCTAGAACTGGAACAAAGAAATAATCTGCTTCTTCACCATTTAATGTTCGAAAGGGGCTAGACAAAATACTTTCATAGATTGCCATCTGCAAACAGTATGCATCATAAACAGTTATCAATATACAAGCAAAAAGAACTTTTTCTTAGTTGGTTTAACCTAGGCCCTAGTAATACCTGCGCACCATACAGCTGATCTGTCCATCTTGTAGCATTCCTGTCATTATAGATTCTGTTTACACACTTGAGATTGAAATGCCTTCCCTGCCATACCCAACAAAGCAATCAAAATGCAAAAACAAATTGCTTTACGGGGAAGGCATCATATATGCTAGGGGTGAGGATTCTAACCTCCAGGAGTAGAATGTTAAACTCTGCCGGCAAATCGTAAACATAGATGAGTGGCCTTTTCTTTTCCACCACAACATCGAGATTGGGTAGATTTTCTGTGAGGTGTACATTATCAGTAACACTAGCCGTCAGTGGTTGAAGCCATCGGGGCCACTCTCTGATGGACGATAAAACAGATGGAATACTGCAATCTGCTCCATACCAGCCATTGTCACACTGTAAAAATAAAATAGATTTAGCTAGTAGATTGCAACAAAGGCAAGAACGGTGTGGTCAACTATAAAAAACATAAATTTCATCCTTTTTAATTCATTCATTCTTACCAAATTTATGAACCCAGTTCACTCTCCTTAATGACTAGTATTATACTTTTAGACTAAATGGAGTACATTGGGAACATTCAAATTTATCATCACTGATTTGTATTCGCAGCAAACTCAACATAATTAAGGAACACTCCAATACCTCTTGTTTGAGGTAACTTTAAGTTATGTGTAATGCAAAACATAGAAGAACAAGAAAGAAACCTGCATCATACAGGAACATGATATTTTATTTCATAACAGAGGGCATTCCTACTATTATTTAGTCCATATTTCTAGGCATCAAACTTACAATAACCAGGACTTGCACCTGTGAATTTTGATACAGAATATTCTTGTTACGTGTTTGTGCTCAAAGTTATTAATTATTTTCTCACAAAAGTCTGGCAGGAGCATTGACCCCCTCAGATTTGCACTTTAACATGTAGGTCTTGTTTCATATGATTCTTGGTGAGTTTATGAGGGTAATCCTCTATGAGTTCCAAATCTTGTAACCATTTCCTACTTAATTTATATAGGCAGAATCTAACATATTTGGAACTGATGAAAGCACTTACTTCTATCAGGACCAGAAACCAACCATCAAAACCATATCTCCCTCCAGGTATCATGACAAGATTCTCTAACCCCATCTTCATAAACTATATTTTTCTTGAATTTTCTCCCACCATTGTATTTTTTTTAAATTCTTTCATCACCAGTCCCAATGCAACTTTCAAACCTCATCCATACTCAAAACCAGAGTCCCATACATTTTTCTCGTACACCCAAATCAGTCGAGAGCTCCTGCATATTCTTAGCCAACTTCCCAACAGGGATAAACTCAATTTTTCCATTTTTACAATAGACATTAACATGATGATGCAGGAGGAAACAATCCAAGAAATTGTCTCCTGTGTTAAGAATAGTAGGGTAGTATGTGTAATTTGTTAATAGTAAGAGGGTATATGTGTAATTATTGTTATTATAGGTTAACTATAAATATAAGTTTGTATGAGAGCTAGGTTAAGTTTTAATCTCTCTCTATTTTCTCTAATATTGTGTTAATTCTCCACACTTAACATGGTATCAGAGCAATTACGATCATAAATATATTCTGAATAAATTAATTTGTTTGTCATACTGTGGTGGTGTCTGTGCTTGTCGAAGCATGGTGGTGGTGGTGGTCTGTTTGTGGTACTGTTGTGGTGTCATTGGGTGTCATAGCATCGTGGTGGTGGTGGTGGTACTGTTGTGGTGCCGGTGTTTGTCGAAGAGTAGCGGTGGTGGTGGTACTGTTGCAGTGGTTGTCTGTTTGCCATCATCTGTTCTTCGCTGTCGTCTATCATTCGTCGTGGTGGTGAGACTCAATCGACAACTAAGGTTGCTGGAGTTGTGATGGTGGTGTGGTTGTTGTGGTGGGCTGCCGTTTGAAGTGGTGGTGAGGCGCAGTCAAGACAAAGGTTTACTGAAACCCTAATCGACAAACGAAGAAGACGAAGGTCCCGACCCTTGTCTAGACCCGATCCAGCCCGTTCTTGATCCAGCCTGATTAAATCGGGTCCAGCCTCCCCGGTTCAGTCTAGACCGAATCAATCCCGGTTCGGCCCCAGTTCAACGGTCTAGTGACTGTTTGTAGTCCGATTCAAACAGTTTTGCACTAGTTCATACCGGTTCAGTTAGTTTTCACCCCGGTTCAGCAGTCCAGCATACCTAATCTGTCCGGTTCACTGATCCAGTAAGTTAAACCAGCCCGGTTAAGTGGTTCAGGAGGTTTAGCCTGTCCGGTTCAGCAATGTAACTCTTCTGTTCAGCTTGTTTTCTTCCAGTAGCCTGGTTTCTAGCCCGATTTAGTGGTTCAAAGGGCTTAGCTTGTCCGGTTCAACAGTGTAACACTTCTGGTTCAGCCTATTTTCTTCTAGCAGCCTGTTTTCTTCTGTCCTTGTTTGCTATTTAGTGCATTGTTATGGACCTCAAGCAAGATACCAGATCCATTACTCCATCTTTGCCTCCTCCTACTATTATTAATGGTCTCATAACCTCTGTTAAACTCAATGGAGCCAATTATACGTTATGGTCCCGGTCTGTTCAAGTCTTCCTTCGAGACAAAGGATTTAAAAAATATTTGGTGGGTCCTAAACCCAAGGAAGATACTCCTAGGTATGATCAATAAGAACAAAAGGACGCTCAAATTATTTCTTTATTATTGAATAGTATTGAGCCTAATATTAGTTTTACTCTGCTCTACATTGACGCTACTAAGGAGATATGGGATCACTTGGCTACTATGTATTATGGTACAGGTAATTTTACCCAAGCTTATGAGGTGTGTAAGGAATATTTCCAGTTGGAACAGAGTTCTTTGAGTATTGAGGATTATTATTCTCATATTCGGGGAGTTTGTGAAGAGATGAAGACCTACCATCCGTTTACTACTGATGCAGCAGTTTGGCAGAAGCAACATGAGGACATGAATGTTTTTAGGTTTTTGGTAGGTTTGAAACCTGAATATGAGGGTATTCATTCTCAAATTTTGGGTGGCTCTACTCTTCCCTCACTACTTGAGGTTTTCTGTCACATACAACGTGCTACTTTGTCTACTTCAGGTATCACTCATGGCGTTTCCACTGATCGCTTAGCTCTTGTGGTTCCTAGTAGCCATAGTGATGGTCATCGAGGTGGTCGAGGTGGTCGTGGCGGTCGAGGAAGTCGTACGAGAGTTCGTACGGGTGATCGTGGGGGCCGTAGTAGACTACGTTCCTGTACTCACTGTGGTTGTGGAAGGCATACTGTTGATTTCTGTTAGGATTTACATGAAAAATCTTCTGGTACTGCAAATTAGGTTTCTTATCAGGATGACACCTCTGTTGCGGCTTCCATACCTCGGTCAGCTCCACCAGACACTGGGTCGATTACTATTACACGAGAAGAATATGCTCAATTCCTATCCCAGCAATAGGCTATTCCATCTCCCTCCACTGCTACTTTTGCCCATTCAGGTACTGCTTTCACTTGTTTGTTGTCCTCCACTCGCACTCCTTAGATCATAGACTATGGCGCCTCTGACCATATGACTGGTGCGTCTGATATTTTTTCTACTTATCAGTCTCTTACTTCCACACGTAATGTTACTCTTGCTAATGGTACTTGTTCTAAAATTTCAGATCTGAGGACTGCTCACTTGAGTCCTGATATGTCTCTATTTTTGTGTTATTTGTTCCCCAGTTTTCTTTTAGTTTACTTTCCATTAGCAAGATTACTCGTTCTCTCAATTGTTCTGTAACCTTTTATTCCTCTTATTGTGTCTTTCAGGATCTCAAGACGAAGAGAAAGATTAGTACAGGGCATGAAGCTGGTGGCCTATATTTCCTTGACTTTGATTCACCTATCCGGGCTCTACAGACCTCGTTGTCTCCTTTTAAATGGCATTGTGGTCTTGAACGTCCCTCTCTCCAGAATCTAAAACGCCAAGTTTCTAGTCTTAGTTATATGTCGTCTTTGTCCTGTGAAGCTTGTCAACTTAGTAAGCATCACCGTGTGTCATTTCAGTCTAGAGTCAATAATTGTGTGTCTAGTTCATTTGAATTAGTCCATTTTGATGCATGGGGTCCAATAAAAAATTTTCATCTAATAAATATCCTTATTTTGTGATATTTGTGGATGACTATTCTCGTGTGACTTGGTTGTTTTTTATGAAAGCTTGGTCTGAATTATTCTCTGTATTTGAGACCTTTCGTAAGGAAATGAAAACTCAGTTTGGTTGTCGTATACGTACTTTACGTTCCGATAATGTTCAGGAATATGAATCTGATCATTTTTCAGCTTATCTTAGTAAAACTGACATTATTCATCAGACTTCTTATACTTACACCTCTCCACAAAATGGTATTGCTAAACACAAGAACCGTTATTTGTTGGAAGTCACCCGTGCCCTGTTATTCCAAATGAATATTCCCCGATATTATTGGAGTGATACTGTCCTTACTGCTTGTCATCTTATTAATCGTATGTCATCCTCTGTGTTAAATGGATAAAGTTCATATTCTGTCATTTTTCCTGGTAAGCCCTTATTTTTCCTGACTCCTAAGGTTTTTGGTTGTGTCTGTTATATTCACAATTTGGGTCCTGGGTTTGACAAACTTAACCCTCGACCTACCAAATGTGTATTTCTTGGTTACTCCCGCAAGCAGAAGAGATATCGTTGTTACAGTCCTTCTCTGCACTGATACTTTACTACTGCCGATGTCATATTTGAAGAATCTGTTCCCTACTTTCCAGCACCTTCTCAGCCTTTGGATCTGGACTTTGGATCATCTCCTGTACCACCATCTCTTTTCTCATCTTCAGATATTCTGCTGTCCACTGTATTACCATCTACTTTACCTCTTCGTGTCTATTCTCGCCGTCCTCGCCCATCGACTGAGGTGCCCATACCGTCTTCCTTGCCGCCTTTTGATTCTAGTACATTAGATAATTTATACTCTTTACCTATTACTCTTCACAAAGGTACTCATTCGTGTGTTACTAATCATCCCATTTCTCATTTTGTTTCATATGATACCTTGTCTCCTGTCTTCTCCTATTTACTTCCCAATTATCTGCTATATCTATTCCTAAACATTTACAGGATGTATTATCTGATCCGGGTTGAAGGAAAGTTATGGAGGAGGAGATGGATGCTTTACATCATAATGGGACTTGGAATCTCGTTCCTTTACCCCTTGGTAAACGAACTATTGGCTGTCGTTTGATGTATACTATTAAATTTCATTCAGATAGTTCTGTGGAGCATTTTAAAACCCGGCTTATTGCAAAGGGCTTTACTCAAACTTATGGTGTTGATTATAAGAAGACTTTTTCTCGTATTGCCAAAATTTCCTCCGTTCGTATCTTGATTTCTTTAGCTGCTAATATTGATTGGCTCTTGTTTCAGTTAGACGTCAAGAATGCCTTCTTACATGGTGACTTGGTTAAAGAGGTATACATGGAGCAGCCACCAGGGCTTACTGCTCAGGGGGAGGATGGTCAGAGTGTATGTCGGTTAAAGAAATCTTTGTATGGTTTAAAGCAGTCACCGAAGGCATAGTTTGGTAAGTTTTCAGATGCAGTTTTAGAGTTTGGTCTTCTTCGATGTCAGACAGATCATTCTGTATTTCATAGACAGACAGATGTTGGTTATGTCCTATTAGTGGTTTATGTAGATGATATTGTGATTACTAAAAATGATTTTGAGGGGATTGTCAAGTTAAAAATATTCTTACTGGATCAATTTCATACTAAGACTTTAAAAAAACTCAGGTATTTTTTAGGTATTGAGGTGGCTCGATTTAAACAAGGTATTTGTTTATCTCAAAGGAAATATGTACTTGACATGTTTGAGGAAACAGGTTTGTTGGGTGGTAGACCGATTGATGTTCCTATGGATCTGAATAAGAAATTAGTGTTTGATGATGGTGCATTGTTTGAGAATCCGAGTCGATATCGCAGATTGATTGGGAAGCTTAATTAACTCACTATTACTCGACCGGATATTTCCTATGCAATCAGTATAGCAAGTCAGTTCATGGAATGTCCTAGAGTACCATATTGGGAGGCAGTTACTCATATTTTGCGATATCTCAAACGAGCTCCTGGACTTGGACTGTTATATCGAGCTAATGGACATCTTAAAGTAGAAGGTTTCTCAGATGCTAATTGGCTGGTTCTCCTTTTGATCGCAGATCAACCACTGGTTATTTTACTTTCTTAGGAGGTAATGTTACCTCATAGAAAAGTAAGAAACAACCCTTGGTAGCAAGATCCAGTGCTGAGGCTAAGTATAGGGCAATGACACATACGACGAGTGAGCTGACGTGGCTACTACACTTCCTCCAAGAAATTAAGTTTCCAGTTCAACTTCCTTTACAGTTATTCTGTGACAACCAGGCAGCTATCCATATCTCTATCAATCCAGTGTTTCATGAGAGAACTAAGCATATTAAGGTTGATTGTCATTTTATTCAGGACAAGATAGTAACTGGGAGATTACAATTCTATTTGTAAAATCTGAAGATCAGCTTGCAGAAATGTTTACCAAAGCATTAAGTCATACACGTCTTACAACTATTTATTCCAAGCTTGAATTATATGATATATATAGTCCAATTTGAGGAGGAGTGTTAAGAATAGTAGGGTAATATATATAATTTATTAATAGTAAGAGGGTGTATGTGTAATTATTGTTATTATAGGTTAACTATAAATACAAGTTTGTATGAGAGCTAGGTTAAGTTTTAACCTCTCTCTGTTTTCTCTAATATTGTGTTAATTCTCCACACTTAACATCCTGCAGAATGTGATTTTTAGCTTCCATCCAATAGTTATAATTGTGATAAGCCACTTGCCATTAATATGGCTAGTAAGAGACATTTTACACAGAATTTATCCAAATTTCATTGGAGATTCTTCAGCAAGGACTGGCACCTCCTTCTCAAGCAAAGTTGGTACAATTGCAGGATAGCTTCACCAAGGCCTAAAGAGAAAAGGCGGAATGATGTATCTTAATTAGCTTGGGAGCATTCAGCCTGATAAAGTTATTAACGTGAAATTAGTTAACAGAACCTCATTCTACTTCATTTTCAACTAGTTTCCAAGAAACTCCAAACTGACAACATATTTTTGCTTTGCTTAGCATGCATTTCCATCTCCCAGACTTAATTCAGTTTCAAGATCTGTTCTTAACTTCTATCACATCATGGAAAGTCCAAAACAACTTTCAATTTCCTACTTTTGGATTCTGGAAATTTCTATTATTTCCAGAGCCAAACAATCCTTTATGTCTATACTCTGTAGTGCCCATTATACAATGTATTTTACACTACGAATAAAGAAACTACAGTATAATAACAAAAGTTCCTAAATTACCTGACAAAATCCACCACGGCAATGCCCCTTGCCAGAGCATTGATTAATACAAGTGCTTAGAACAGGCACCTCACAAAATCTCCCCCGCAGACCGTCATACTTGCAATCGCACTCCTTTTTGTAATGTACTTTTGAAGCATAGGCTTCTAATGGATCCACGTTACACCATCCAGGTTTGGTACCATTAGTTGTAAAAATATTATCCAGGTCAGCTTTTGTCCAGTCAGTTAGTGCTGGACCACCAGGGTCAGAAGGCAAGCTGAATCATATATTGGAGAATTATGACATATCCAATTGATAATGTGGGGTCATAGAGAAATAGATATGTCTGTTAAGAATTTCACTATCCTTACTTCACTTTAAACCCACATGCCTCAGCGACGGGTCGATTTGGGTATTTTGTGCCTTCCCCACAGAAGCACATTGCTCTAGTTGTGTCACAATAAGCAGGGCAAATTGAGATAACCCATCGCCCATATGGGTGGACTTTTGATCCTGGGAAGTTGCAGGTTAACTGCAGTCTTTCAGCACATCCTTCCCCTGTTCCATTAACATATAGAAGTATCAAGACAATTATGCGATTGACCAAACAGAAGCATTACAGAAAAATCAATTCTGCTTATATGCTAAATGTAGACAATATCAATTAGGGAGAAACAATACCAATGAGATATTGGTACTAACTCTAATATATTCAAATCGATTAGCAGTAAATGTTAGACCTGGAAAAATTGTAGATAGAAATTGTATGTTCCCTGAACAGTTTGTAATGCAAACAGAAAAGGAGAATGGCTCATGCAAAACAAAGAAAGTAGGGAACTGTGGTAGGAAGAAAGCATCAATATCCCCGTAAATCGGTCAAATAACTCCCTGAAAGATCTTCATCTGTAATGATGAAGCAAAAATCTAATCGGTACTTAACTAGGCAAATTATATTTAGATTCTTTCCTCTGAAAGGACATCATTTTATTACTGGAAGGAGATGATAGAGAAATCAAGTTCATTGCAATGTATTGAAACCCCAGCAGTCATGGCCAAAGTAAACATGATATACAGAATAGGCATAGCACCTTTTTATATTTTCATCTTCCAACTTGAGATATCAAACAGATATCAAGTAACACAAATAGAAGACCAAAGAGATACGAACCACTGAATCCATGAAAGCAGCGACACTGACCCAACTCCCTATTACAAATGCCTTGACCACTACAGCCACTTTTGCAGGTCTTGCTGCCAATTTTCTGACAACAGAACACTTACTGTAAGTCACAAAATTTGGAAGAAAAAAAATCCCTAATGAAGAAGTTAATTTAAATTCAAGCAAAGCATCTATATATCACCAGAATCAAAACAAATAAGAAGAGGTCATCATAATGATCAAACATGGGATAAAATTTGAACAGTAGCAAAATAATAAAAATGAAAACCAACTTTGGTAGTTGTAATCATCCATACCTCAACAATTTTGACTGCTGTAGTATTGGAGTTACAACTTGACAACCACCGGCCAATCTCAACCTTCCACGGAGCGCCGCGGTAAACCACAGTGTTATGCAATTCGGCCGGAAACTGAACGTCTAAGTCAAGTACTTGCTGTGGCTTTTTCAAAGCCTTGTCCCTGCTTCGTCCAATTGATTGATTAAATGAGACATTCTCTTTCCCTCCTTTAATTGATCCGTTAATTGGGACATAGGAGTTCTGAACCTGCCTTGTTGCTCTACAGTAATCAAAAGGTGGCACCACAGGAAACAAGAATATATGAACTACTGAAACCAATGCCATGATAGAAACGATTCCTGCCACCAGAGACCAAGAGCACTTCCATTTCTGGATGCAGAACATAATCCCAAAATCCTGCTCCTAAATCACTTCACTTCAGGAATTTAAATTTACATGAACCAACAGTTTCTCTTTCAACCCAGTAAGCTCCGTAGTATTTGAAACTGGTGGTCTTTAAGCAGCCCCAGTCACACTACTATTAGCCAGTAAAATGAAAATAAAGCACGAGGAAAACCTATAAAAATTGACAAAACTAGTAACCCACCACCCTTTACCCTTACAGTAATTAAATTAACCACGGGAGTTTTTCATAGATGATTGCAGAAGAACAAAGTTATTTTCCTGGTAAAAGAAGCAACAAAAAAAAATGTAAAAGTGTACTTAAATGGAGCAATCAATCCTCATATAAATCAAAAAAGGCCACAGTTTCACAAAGAAATTTCTGCATCATAGCACTGAAACTACATGTATTCAACTTAAACTAATGAATTAAATTTAAGGCTGTCACGGACCTTTATCAGACCTGAAGTAGCAGTTTGTTGGGATTGAAGGGCCTAAAGCATAAAATTGAAAACGACTTCAACTAACACTGACTACACAAGCATACATCTACGTGTATATAAGAGAGGAAGGAAGAAGGTTCAAACTGATGAAAGTACTGATTTGCAATTTGATGAAACTGTCCAATTTCAATTTTTTAGACAAATAAGGGATATAATAAAATTTATATTACGTGATCTGCACACAAACCCTCCTTATTTTTTTCCTAATTAATAAATCTGGTGCTTTCGGAAAGGGATTTCCTCATTTAAGCAAATATAATTATCATAAGTCCCAATTTAGTATTGATTTAAAATCAGTTTTATTACATTAGCTTGTGTACATATAAAAGCACGAGATCAATATGCCTTGAAAGATGAGCTTAATGGCTACAACAGAGGAAAGTAAAATTCAGGTTGTGAGAGATTGGATGAGAGTTCAATACTCATCGTTAAGGATTAAAACCAAAAAGGAAAGAAATCACATTGTACACACTAATGAATTACACGTGCAAGTAATCAAAAACAAGATAAAAATGGAAGCCTCAAGACCCCTACGGAAGTTTTAGGCATCTTGCCAAGTATCTCTAAGTAGATTGTATAAGCAGTTTTTAATTCATATTTTTTAATGAAAGTCAAATGGCCCCTCTACATGAGAGGGAAGTACATAACAGTTTAGAAACACATTGACTGCTTATGAAGAGGTTTGAAGCTACAGATATTTTAAAAATTGAAGAACTTGATACAAATAGATCAATTGTTTTGTTAAAAGCGATGGTACTGAGTTTATAAACATCTTATATTTTTTAGGAGACACAGTACCTAAAAAATAGAGTCAGACCTGAAAAGAAGCTTCAAGCTTGATGTGATCCAAAGCACCCATTCCAAAGAAAATGTGAAACTGGAAATTTTCCATATCCAAAGCATCCAACTGTCCCGAATTTTTTTTGCGAAATAGTAACAATGTCTCCCTCATTGATGACTGGCAAGCTGGATCCTTCTTTTAATAGTGTGTGCATGTGCGCACCCATGCTTACATTCTTCTGCGTCTGCCTGGGTTCTCAGTGTGGGCTTTAAATTGAAATCTACGTGGGGGAGAGAGAAAAGATGGGTGTTTAGGCACAGGGACAGGCTTGTTCAAATAAAGACTAAGGAGTGTCGAGTACAAGAGTTGTTCATACAACGGAACAACAGAAATTCCATTAATGCCATTGTATGCAAATCTGGCAGTGGGATTAGTGTTGTATCAGAAACAGTGTGGGTACACATGGAATTAGGCTAAAACGTAAAAAGGGTCTGGTCAAACTATATTGACCTATACATCATCAATGAGATTCTTTAAGGATGTGCAGAACATTTCAAGATGAACCTTCAATATATATGGCACCAAATGCCACAGAATATGCTTAAATACTATGCACATCTGAAGTGTGGGAAGCATGAACTTTGTGAGAACTGGTATAACAACTTCACTCTCAGCTATATGGAAAATGGGATTGAATATACTACCCTGAACGTTCAGCACAAGAACAATAAGTTGTACCATAAAACATGCACAATGATTTTGTCAACTCTCAAGAAACCACAATCAATGAAACTAGACATGTCAACAAGTTTTAGGGAAAAATGAGTAGGTTAATGTGAGGAACTACACCTTGATACTGGCGGGCAACTAATGAGGTATAACACATTTCCTCATGGAATAGGTCACAACAACAATAACATTTACATACCCCCAATTGGCAATTGGCAGCATTCATATATTCATCGATGTAATCATCCTCATGGTTGTAATAAAGAATAAGGATTATCAATCTATCTGCTATTAGCCTATTACAGTTAGGAAATTGAATTCTCAACCCATAAAAATACCACAACGGTTAAGACTTATCCAATTTTCATCTACTTTGATCCAATAGTGCAAAATTTATTTAAATTTTTTTTCCACTAAAAACCATCATCAGCCCCAATGTCAGACACTTCAACATACTTCTCAATACTAGAAAACACTATTAATTCTCACCTACTTCCCTCCCTCTTCTGTCTCCTATTTTCTATCCGTTCACTTTAATTTAAATTATTTAATTAAAAAAATAAATTAATATTTAAAATATAAATATTACATGGTCAATATTCAAATTTTTCTATTGCTAGTAAGTCAACATTGTCCACTGATATGCATTGCCTACCAATGGAATGAGTAATTTCCTTGGGACACCCATTAACCAGATTAGAATACACAAAAAATTATATGTGTGTGCATGTCTATGTGTTAAGACCAAACCAAACAAAGTCTTATGTCTCAATCATTTGGAGTAAACTATACAGACTCAGTCTTCACCATTCATTTCGATAGATTTGTTTCTCCATATGGAGAGGCATCCTCCTATTTTGAAAGGTGTCAAGACACTAGTGCTATTCCGACCATCATCTCATTTTAGGTATTGCCCTCTTTCTTAAAATTCAACATCTCCGATATATTGTGCATTCATAATTCTTCCTATTTCTCCCGATTTTTCTACATAAATCAGTTCATTCCCAGCTTGAATCTCTTCCTTTTTTATTTTGACTTCAGCCGCTCTCATTTAAGTTAAATATTTTTTTATTATTTTGTTTAATGTTAATTTAGATTTACCCCACCTTCTAGTACCAATAAGAAAAATTCTCTCATTTTTTCGAATCGGTCCCTCGGCCTCCATTAAACCATCTTAACCAATTTTTTCTTTAACTTATCTAAAATTGGAGCTCGTCTTGCCAATTCTCTAATCCAGTCATTTTGTATTCTATTATTTCTAGTTTTTCTACTATCCACCTTATCATTCTAATGGATACATAACGTACAGCGAGAAACGACGTCGAAGTGCTTGGCCGAGATATCTGACGATCTTGACATTACGTTCATCAACCCCACTGATAGCCCCACACGCCCGCGACGAGACTCGGCGACTCGATTCCACTCGGCCAACGCTCACTCAGCCCCTGCCCCACCACCAACGACGATGACGGCGAAGAAGAAGCAACGAGTTTCAGAGAGCACACAACGACCCTCCGATGTGGACCACTCGTACTGTGAGTCCCAACGCCATACCTCTGTCGAGCTGTGGAGATAGTGTTGGAGACAAGAGGGAGAGATGCAAGATTCATGGTGGCCGTGGCGGTAGTTGTGTCAGCTGGTTGGACCAACGAAGAGATGCAGAAAAACGGCACTATTTTCCGAGTAAAAGAAAAGGTATTAATTCGATCAATATTAAGCTTGTGGCATTTGTGCAAAAACAATAAATAAGAGGGCACATTTGCAATTAGTTATCAAAATATGACACAACATAAAATTAAAAGGTTTTAAATTTTTTTAAACAGCATATTTTTTAAATGAATGAATTCAACACGATATCGATTAAAAAATAAATTTGATATGGATAAAGTCAATTTAAAAAAATTTAGATACAAATTCAATATGATACGACTTATTAGATACTAATTAAAAAATAAATCAAATATAAATGAAGCATTTTTTTATATAAACCCACTAACATCTCACACAAATCCGCATCACGGTTGACAGGCTTAATCACACTACCATGATTTTTTAAATATTCATCAAAATACTATTTTTTCACTTCTATCAATTTTTTGGGGTTAAAAACTTATATTGATTTATAATACTGGTTTCTATAAAAGTTTCAAAAAGTATCATAATTTAATAAAAAAAATATAAACAACGGAATATAGTAATAGGCAATAAAGTTGAAAAAATATGTAACAAACTCTCCAATCATCTCAAGATTGAATTCTTTTTTACATTCTGTAACTTTCTTACCAAAATATAGTACTTTCAAATTATTTTTTTTTCATAACATATAGATCAAGTTGATGCATTTTTAAGTTTTTTTTTATTAAGTACAAGCAAGTTTTAAATTGAAATTTATGAATTTAAACAAAGGTTTCAATAAAAATAACTATAATTTGTCCATCGATTGAATTATTTGGTATTCGATCATTCGTATTTTTATCATTAAATATATTATTTATCGTCGTATTATATTCTACTTTGCTTAATTAATTTTTCAAGATAATTTGGGAGGAAATTTGTGACAATTGTTTAAAATTTTACAATACATAATGTAAGGAGATTCATTTGCATATTTTGGGAACTCTATTGCCTGTTGTTTTTAATTATTTTTTAGGTAATTAGTGATTTGACCAATGTATTTAAAAATATAATTGTGAAAAAATTGTCAATTGGTCTAGCAATTAATGTATTTAGGAAAACTAGGTGTTACATAACCTCTTTTAGTTGTTGAAAATATTAATTATAGTAAATACAAAAAATAATTTAAAAAATATTTATTATCTCTTCAACTTCCATGTAATTATATGTATAGTAATTGTCCGCATAATTATGAAGGATAATGAGTTTTTTTGTTGGATGGATTAATTAAATGCATATAATAATTTATGATTAATTTTGTGCATCGTGCGAATTACCGAGATATAAAGCTTAACAAACATGAAAGCCAAACAATGGACATCAATAATGCCAAAAAGTAAAAGGAAAAATTAAAAAAAAAAAATCTCAATAACCACCTCCAGATAACTCATCAATACTTTGAATCCAGAAAATAATTTTCCAAGAAAAGATACATGCGTGAGCCTCTTATTTCATTTCAAGAGCTATAGCTTCTTGGTAACATAGTTCTCGACCTTCACTATACATCATGATACTTCTCAAGATTAAATACAAAATAATCTTTTTACTTACAAGGATAAGACTACGTATATTTAACTATTTTCAAACTCTATAATGACGAGAGTCTCATAGACTAGGTACGATTTTGTTTTTTTAATCAATCGAAATACATATCCTGCATTTTCAGGGTTTAGTTTTATATTCTAGCTTTATTTCTCCACAAATATGGAACTCAATGAATAAAAATAAAATAAAGTAAATTAAGGTATTGGTGCCTCATGTTCATCTTTTCACCAAAAGAGTAAGCAAAAAAGCATAAAAATTATACATATCGCATCCAAGAAAAAATGAGAAAACAGGAAAAAATTTGTATATGGCTCGGAAAATTGGCTAGAAATGATACAATCATTAAATATTTGGCTTTAGGTGTAGCTGTGTCGCTAATGGAGATCTCTGGCAAGTTATGAAGTAGCTTCTTCAATCAGAATTCCATCACACAGACAGCCGGCGGTTGGGCAATTCTTGCCACCACAAGAGCTCTCCTGTTGCTGTATTTCTATCAAATTACTTCGATGTTTTTGTACAGGTCTTTACTGTGTTTTTATCAAGCATTCTCTAGGTACTCCAAACTGCTTTTCCACATGAGCAAGCTGCTGTCTCCAAGGATCATTGTGTAACTTGTAGTGCAAAACCTTGACAAAGCAAAGATTAGTTTAAAGCATCAGGTAAGACAATTTTTTTGCTTGGGGGTTTTTTTTTTTTGGGAGAGAGAGCTTTTAAGCTAGAAAAACAGATTGACGCTAGTTATGAACAATTCTGGGCAGTATTGTCACTCTCTCAGTTGTATAAAAGAATAGTGAACTAACTCGCTAGCAAACTTAGTGAACCACCATTAAGTGTACATTTCACACTTTGATGGGCATTTTTGCAAGTTTCTTGTATTCAATGAAACTTTAAAACTTACACTCGCTTTTAGCATCCATCAATTTAGAGATGTCAGTTAAACACAGTCATTTGTTCAATCTATAACATCACAATTTTTCCAAAAGCATAATATGTTGCAGACACGGATCAACTAGGACATGCCAATAAGTTTTTCGTAGCTTTTGAGGAAAGCCATTTCTCATGTGACTTTTTGCATCAACAAAAAAGAAACCAAGTAGAAACCAGTTCCTATCTGGGGTGACCCATGTACAAGGCTCCCACCACTCCTGGGTCTGGAGTGGGTGTAACCTTTACCCTTTGCATGGAGAGAGGCTATTTCCGAATACCAGTTCCTACATACAGAAATTAAAATCTGATTCAACTCAGATTTGGTTCACTCAGTCTTTGACCACCGGCATCGTTATATCTGAATCTAACAAAGTCAAAAATGTTACATTCGAACCAATTCAAAGGAACCCTGTCTCGCATCAAAGGATAAGCCGTACCCACATTCACCTAAATGCATCATTCTACAGCCTAATCCACCGAAGAACCAAAAATTGTTTCTAGGTGTTATGACTCAAATATGAGCAAATACTATATCCCGCTGCTTTTTTTTTTCCACTGCTTTATTGCTACCATTCTGTGCTACCTTTACATGGCAGAATATGATTTCCATAGAGTATTCTCCCTAATGATCTTTCCAAAACAAGGAATCAACCATAGCCGATGATACAAAACAGTAACATAACTGTTGACTTTGAACATTTTGTCATAATTACTTGGACAGAGTTCTTTGATTCTTAGAAATATTTTTTCCAGGTAAAACCCTTTACGATTATTATTTTTTGAACGAGTCCTGTTTGCACCTAATCTATAATGCTTATGCCCCACTCAGAAATTAGTGTTGTAGATATGCAAGTTAGTCCTTCATATTACTAAATTGTTCCCTCCCAACTAAAGTCAGGTCAACACCACATCGTGGATTCTATTTCTAGGATACTGTGATGAAACAAATGGCAAACGAAAACACTGCAGAGATTTAAGGGAAGTATATCCAAATCACCAGGCACTAGAGTGCAAACCTGTATGAATGTGGCAAAAACATCATCTTCTCTGAGTTTTAAAACCTTTACAGCCCAATCCTCCACATGCGCAAATGCAGTTTTCTGTCTCTCAGCCTCGAGCAAAATAGAATTACGATACAAGAATCTCTGCCAGATCTTTTGTACATTTTCCAACATGAACTGTATCTCTGTTTCATTGATTCCCTACAGAAGTATATCTCACCATCATTCAACTTCTGCTTAAGTTCAATGATGAATTGTTTGTCCTACAAATTTATAGCATTAAAAGGTAGTAAGCACTTACCCGGAGGATGTTTATCATGTTTGGTATTTCATCTTCATGAATCCGAACAGCAAAACTTTCATAGATGAGCACATTCTCATATGGCAGGAAAATTCCATCCTGAGGATATATGAAAACAAAACTGAAACACCTGAGTGGGAGTTGTAAAAGTTAATGAAGAGGTGGTTAATATTAAAATAAGGGATTTCCATTGAAATGAGAATAATTCAACTGCACTCATTTGAGTTTTCTAATATGTTGATAAAGCATCACCATAACTAAAATGGCATGTTGAAATATAAATACTTAAGTTATACCCTCTCTGACAGCTTAAGCTTTTGGAGTAGATAATTGTTTAACATGGTATCAGGGCATGAGATCCTATGTTCGAATCTCGCCGCCATCATAATTATTAAAAATATTTTCATGTTTTAGGCCTTAAATCTAGCCTGCAAGTGAGGAGGCGCGTTAAAGTATAAATACGTAAATTATACTCTCTCCAACAGCTTAAGTTTTTGGAATAGATGGTTGTTTAACACGGCAGAAGGACCCAACATCATTTTGAAAACAAAATTCCAGAAGTAAGCTGCATTATGTTTTTCCAGGCCCTAGCTGAGAAGCAGCTTACAGCATGTGATGAGCTTCATCAGATAATAACATCGATATCCTCGGCCTAAAAGTCAGCACAGGAGAAAAACGTAGAATCACACTACCTGAATGACCACAGGTATGCACCCTTGTAAAATACTATCTTCCATTCGGCCACTCCATCCATCTCCAGGCATAACTCCGCAGAAAATAGAACTTGCCAAATCCTCGTGATAATTGTCTGAGCGAAGTGGGGTCACAATCACATCTTCTGCATGTTGTTTCCCAAGCTTCCCTTCCTTATCAGGGCTAGATCCAAACTCTTCTGCCACTTTCTGCCTGATACCCATGCTATACCTGAATAGCGATCAGATCTAAACAATCAAACTCCTAAAGACAGACAATGCATCTTTAAGAATGTTAAGGAAACTGATTATTTGCAAAGCTGGGCATGGCCCAAATTACCATAACATGTTTATTAAACACAGTAATCTATAGATGAAGTTCCATAAGACAAGCAGACCAAATGTCATTGCATCATATGGCCCAATCTAAGGTTATCTAAGCAACCCTCCAGCTTACATTTTCTCTGCATGGTTTCCTGTTATTAAAAGCCAGTAGTTCACTTACGTAGCTTCTGGTCTTCCTTTTTCGTAAGCTGGGCCTAAATTTCCATTAAAGTAGAAAAGTATCTTCCGCTTCCCACGAGGCCTGCAGATGTAATTATCTTTGTTAGCATACTGTGAAACAAAAGAAAGTTGTGTACTCAAGCAACAACACTGAAGTGGAAACCGGAAGAAAGTAGCTATCCAATAGAGTACATACCTAGCCCAAAGGTAAGAGCTCAGGGAATTTTCTTCAGGACGCTTCCATGCAGGAAGTAAAAGATCTTTATCAGGGTCAAAGCACGGATGGTTGCCCCTCCTGTCAGAAGAGATTCGATCCCAGTTGTCAGCCCAGTATGCTGTTGTCGAATGGTTATACTTTGAATTTGTATTACCCCAGTGAACCAACATCATGCTGTTCCATATCTCCTTTGGGGCATAGCAAGCACCTTCATCCCATGAGAAAAACTACCTCGAGACAAAGATATGGAACCATTAGTATGAACAACTTAAAATATAATGCACCTACACATGCATAAGAGTTAGTTTAGCATTTTTTCTAAGCAGTTCTATCACATAAATGAAGTTTTTCAACCACATCATACCCAAATGTGATCTCTTCCTGATGTGCGATTCCAGAATGGATATTGCTCAACAATATGATCATGTGCCTTCTTATAGAATTCTAGAGTTAGAGAGCTCCTCAAGCCCTGGTGATCCTGAAATGTGAAGATATGCACATTAAAATGTAAGAACAAATCAAAGGTATAGACATATTCACAGAATCACACAGTAACACATCTATTTGTAATTATCTACAAAACCGGATTTGATACAATCAAAACATACATGCACATGAAATTAAATGCAGATTGAAGTTTATGACCATATATATACACAGTTCCTTCCAAGTTTAGAGCAAATAAAAAATTGAGGAGTTTAGTTACCTAAACTTTACGAGAATGGGAGAAAATAAATCCAAATAAGTTGGGGGAGCACTAAATTAGGTAACACCATAACAGTATTGTAGGCAATAGAATTTGAGGTGTTAAAATATAAATAACAAAATTGATTAAGGAGCTCCTCACAAAGATAAGACAAGTATTTAAACGTTAAAAGAGTTTGTGTATAAATTAAGGGTTCCAGGAGGAACTAGGAGAAGGTTTGAGGAAAAAAGTATGCATGAATTCACTACTGCGGGAAAAAAATAAATGAATAATCTATTAGAGAAGTAACTAAATGTTACTCAAAGAAGAGGAAAAATGTGATATGATGCAAAAGAGAGGGTTGAAAAGGAAAAATAAAACAGGCAATTTGGTTTACAATTTCTGAAAACTTATTATCTGACAATTATAAAGTATAAATAGGAAAGCAATGACCTATCCAGTGAGCCAGAAGACCATACGAACATGTACCTAGACAATGGGAGTTCTAATATGGATGCCTACATGTAAATATGTGTAATGGGATACCTACACGTAAATAGCCAACGAATGATGAAAAGGAAGTTAAAGTGACAAAGTGAAGTTACAAAGCCAGAATAACAAGATAAAATGTCTAAATCCTACCAGGAGTACAAAGTCATCAAACACAAGGAAATGCAGGACCAGATAGCTGAAATATTCAAAAAGAGAAAAATAAATATACTTCCAGCAATCTGAACACAAAAATATCACCCTTAAAAACTTGGTGGATGACAGGTTGGTAAGTTTGCAATTCAATTTCCAAGAAAAAAAAAATTTTGACTTCAATGAGAGTGCATCATCTTCCAAAGAATATGAGTCTGGCTAAAAGATCATGTTGAAAGCATTCGAGAAGCCAACCCCAAGTAATGGAACCACGGGCTTAAATAGTCATTTGATTGCTATTTGAACATTTAACAGGGAAGACAAAGGTCAAAAAAAACACAGAAGACAAAGACCAAGTATTTTAGGCTTTGATTTGGCTTTTGATAAGTGATAAAGCCACAATAACATAGGCAAAATCCTGTTTAAGAACATAAGCAACCAAGGCAAGGAAATGTAGGACATGCAAGATTTCAAAGGCATTGTATAAATTGAGTCCTTTTATACCTGCATGCTCAAGTGGGGGGCATCATCAGCACGAGTTATAATGCACGAATCAAGAACTGGAACGAAGAAATAATCAGCTTCTTCACCATTTAATGTTCGATAAGGGCTAGCTAATATACTTTCATAGATAGCCATCTGCAAACAGTAAGCATCTTAAAGTGTCATTCATTAATAAGATGATTTTGACAATTTTTTGTAAGCTGGTTTCACAAGAAGGCCCAAGTGATACCTGTGCACCATACAGCTGATCTGTCCATATTGTAGCATTCCTGTCATCATAGATTCTGTTTACACACTCAAGCTTATAATGCCGTCCCTGCAATGCTCAACAAAGCAATCCAAATACGTAAAGAACTTGCTCTACAATGGGGAAAGCATCAGGTGTGGTTATCATCGAGTATTCTGACCTCCAGGAGTAGACTGTTAAACTCTGGTGGCAAATCATAAACATAGATGAGGGGTCTTTTCTTTTCCGCCACAGCATCGAGATAGAGAGGATTCTCCGTGACACGTGCATTTTCAGGAACACTTACCTGAGCTGGTCGAAGCCATTGGGGCCATTCTGTAATGGATGATAAAACAGATGGAATACTGCAATCTGCCCCGTACCAGCCGGTATTACACTGCAAATATGCAATAAATTCCACTAGGAGATTGCAATAAATAGAAGAATGATGAGGTCAGCTATGAAAACTATCAATTTCACTTTTTCCAAACTGTACATATTGCAGATATCATTATAAAACTCACGGACTCAGTTATATAAGTACTCTTACTGGCAGTCAACCTGCACAGTTTATTTACTTGTTTAATTGTCCAGCGGAACATCTTCTCCCTTTTGAAAGGCATTGCCCCTTTGCACCCTACTAGTCGAAAACCCCTATAACCGAATTCAACACAGATTTATCAAGGAATTGGACGGTGAAAATTTTACAACCTAATTAGTTAAGAGATCCTCTGCATTCTCAACTTCCCAACTAGGGGATCAGCTCAACTTTCTGTTTTATCAATAGGTTTTGCAGAGCAGAAGTGTAAGTATAGAGCAATAGTGCATGCAGACCAAGAGATGATTTCTCCTCAAAGATGGGATTTTAAATCAGATCTAATCATTATAATTTCAATAAGCAAGCTGCCACTTATACAGCCAGTCACAGACACTTTAATCACTAGTGTACACATAAGTAATTGATTGCACTTGCATTGGATATACTTCAGCAAGGACTAACTCCTCATGCAAAGCATGCACAACGGCAAGGTTGTTTCCACTAAGACCCACAACTAAAAAAAAGTAGTTTTATAGCTCTTCTAGAAATCTAAACGTGATAATAGTAATCATAAACACATGCTACTCCATTTTTGAGCCTGAATCCTCATTTTACGAGGGCCTCCAAACTAACTCCAAACTGACATCCAACAATTGGTTTGCTTACCATGCATTTTATCTCCCACATGTAAATCAGCATCAAAGATCTTCAAATTCATATCATTCACCTTCCAGAACAACCCTCAATTACGTCATTATAATTACCAAAAATATGTATTCTTTCAAATCCAAAAAATTTATTACTTCTATTTCTTCACAGCCCATTGTTGACATTAGTCTGTATAAAGAAAATATGATCAGCACAATTGTTTTTTTGTTTTCAACTTCCCTTACAATTGTAATTCAGATTTCTAAATTACCTGACAAAATCCACCACGGCAATGCCCATTGCTGGAACATTGATTGATACAAGTGCATAGCACAGGCACCTCACAAAATCTTCCCCACAGACCATCATACTTGCAATCACATTCCTCTTTAAAATGCACCTTTGAAGCATAGGCTTCCACCGGATCCACGTTACACCATCCTGGTTTGCTACCATTTGTTGTGAAAACATTATCCAGGTCAGCTTTTGTCCAGTTAGTTAGGGCAGGACCACCAGGTTCAGAAGGCAAGCTGAATCATATATTAGAGAGTATTATGATGCAAACAATCCAGTGGGATCCCATAGAAGTGGAAATATTCATCACGAATCTAACTATCCTTACTTCACTTTAAACCCACATGCTTCAGCAACAGGGCGATTTGGGTATCTTGTGCCTTCACCACAGAAGCACATTGCTCTAGTTGTGTCACAAGAAGCAGCGCAAATTGAGACAACCCATCGCCCATATGGCTGAGCTTCTGATACTGGGAAATTGCAATTTAACTGCAATCTTTCAGAACATCCTTCCCCTGTTTGATCAGCAAGTATTACAGATTAAGACTATCATCAAACAGAGGCATTACTGAGAATTCTGCTTACGTGCTATGAAAAATCAAATGATATCAGAGGAAGAAGAAGAACAGCATGGACTCAGATATGTGCAAATGGAGTAGCCACAAAATTTTGCCATCGGCAAATTGTTTTCCAAATTGAAATTGGTGTGTCCGTATGCATACATTTGATAGATGCAATTGACACTGTGATTTAACAATTTGTAAATGTAACCAGAAAAAAGTTAACTTCCAAAGAAAATATAGTAACCAGAAAAGGAGAAAATGTAAAAGCAAGAGACAGAAAGCAGTGAATTTTGGCAGGAAGAACGGGTATTTACTTGATAAAATTGTCAAATGACACAATGAAAGATGTTCATCTGTGGTGATGCGGGTCAAACATTTAATAGGTGCTTAACAAGACAAACGGTGGGGATTAGTTCACCCAAATCAACAAATTTTGTTGAAGTGTATGAATATTTATGTTGTACCTTTTAAGAGCAATCGGTGCTCGGTAGTTTAACAGCATATCAAAGTAGGAGTTTCTGCATTTGAATCGCGTCCCCTCCTTTATAAGCTTTAGCTTTTAAGCAATTGGTGGTTTAACAAATTCTACTTTCGTTACACGCAAATCAAGAAAAGTAAAATGGAAGCTGCTAACTGGAAAGGCAGAATTCTAATGTGAATTCACAAGCTTGCAATTAATTTTTCCATATAAAATGTCACAACCTGAATAGAAACACAACATTTATTCCGGATCCTTAAATATGGACACAGGTTTTGAAACTTAAAGCACTTACTTATCTCTAGAAACAAAAAGTCCATAAATTCATATACGATAAATACGTCTCACCAACGTAGAGTTAAACTCATAACTGGATACTCACACAGTGCTCGGCAATATTGCAGAAATTAGATAAAGAATTTATGGAAAGGGAAATAAAAAGCCGAGAACAGTGCATATTATTACTTGTGTCCATCCACTGCATGCCTGGAAAAGTTAAGGCTATTCAAAGGACTGGCTACTTTATGCTTTAGACTAACTAATGGTAATTAAAGAAGATTTTAATTTTTACTCTTCCCATCAAACACCTTATAAGGGCATCTTATTTTTTGGATCAACACCAGCTTTGAAGGAATTATTACCACCCAATAAACCAGGTACTCCAAAAGCTTAAACTTATAGGGAGCATGTGCAATTTCATTTTTTTGTACTTCCCCTTTCCAGTGGCCTATCATGAGTGGGCCATCCACGTGGAAATTATGCTAACTTAGGTGGAATACAGTGAGATATGAGCAAAAAACTCTTTTTGCTTTCTGATGTAACCATTATTTGGCACAATATGCGGCCAATTGTCTATAACATCCAACTGAAACCCCACCCCCCCCAATCCTATTTGTCACCTAATTATAAAAACAAATTATGTAAAGGTTTCAAGTAGAACTCCTCTGGTTCTTGTGTAAAAACTTAAATATTGCCGGATTGAACAACAGCAGTAATTACACTTTGTCTTTGTAACAAAATAATCTTTTGGGCGTACTGCATACAAATCCTTCACATTCAGATCAGGTGAAAAAATTATCTATAGATTATCTGCTTTGATAGGACGATACTTTTATTACTTCAAGGGGATGACAAATAAACACATTCATGCAATGATAATGAGTGCCTACTGCCTACTAATCATATTCATGACTAAACTTAACATGGTAATTAGAATGGACATGGCATGTTTTTCTAGCTTATCTTCATAATCAAGATAAACTGTATCAAGTAACAAAGATAGAAGGTTAAAAAGATACTAACCACTGAATCCATGAAAGCAGCGACACTGTCCCAGTTCACGATTACAAACGCCTTGACCACTACAGTCGCTTTTGCATCTCTGGCCACCAATTTTCTGATACAGAATTACTTAATTGTGAGCAAATATTTTTTATATAAAAAACTCTTCAAGTGTAGAAGACAAATTGAATTCAATTTTAGGGTCTACAACATAACAAAATCAAAGTAGCTAGTACTTTGACGAACTTCAAACCTCAATCCACGAGATCAAGTAAAGTAATTTGAATATAAAACTGAAAAGTAAACGTAGCAACTGAACAGTGATTAGAATTTCAACTTTCAAACAAAGTAAGAGGAATGACAATAAACTTTAACAGTCATAATCATAAGTACCTCAACAATTTTGACTGCCGTAGTATTTGAGTTACAACCGGACAACCACCGGCCAATCTCAGTCTTCCATGGAGCGCCACGGTAAACCACCGCATTGTGTAAGTCAGCCGGAAACTGAACATTTAAATCAAGCACTTGCTGTGGATTTTGCACAGCCTTGTCCCTGCTTCCTTCAATTGATTGATTCAATGGGACATTGTCTTTGCCTCCTTCAATTGACCCATTAATTGGGACACAGGAGTTCTGAAATTGCCTTGCACTGAAGTAATCTAAAGATGGCACCACAGGAAACAGGAACAGATGAACCACTGAAACTAATGCCACGATTGAAGCTATGGATGCCACCAGGGACCATGAGCATTTCCATTTCTGAGTAGATAGCATGATTCCCAAATCCTCCTCAATTATCTTAAATTCAAAATTTTGAATTTATACAAACCAATCTATTATTTTAACCCTTCAAGCTCTGTGAAAATAAACATAGAGTTCAATGAAACAGACCCCAGGAAAAATGACAATAAACATCTCTCACCATCCATTATATTCTCACCATATTACAGTTAATCTCACGAATCCTCATGGATAGTTTCATAAGGAAAAAGATAATATTCTTGGTACAAGAAGCAATATTGAAAACATGTAAAATCGTTCATCAATTATTATCAAAGAACAATAGCATATAGGTTTTCAAACATAGATAAATTACTGAACCCACCAATTCTCTGCCAATTACTTCACAAACAAAAACCAGTTCAAAGCGCTGAAATTCTGTGAGTTCAACCTAGAATGATGAATGTGATTCAATAGACATAAGAAGGCTGACTCACTGACCTTCATCAGATCTGAAATAGCAGTCCTTTGAGATTGAAGGACCTAAAAACGAAGCAGAGAATTAACTAACATGAAGAAAAAAACTTAGAAAACTGAAACAACAGATCAACTAAATTTCATGCACAAGATTACAAAAATCAATAGAGAGGGAGAGATTACCATAATCAATTGAACACATGCCAATACTCATTTCCCGCTGAACCCAGGGGAAAAACCATGTATAATCAATAGTTGCATGAACCACGATGAATTGCGAGAGAGATTACCGTAATCAACTCAATAATTTCTCAATTTCCAGCTGAATCCAGAACAAAAATACGTTAGATTTGAATATTATATGAACAAGGAAGGAGAGAGAGAGAGAGATAAGTTGGCATAGAAGCCGCCAAGGCCGTCCCTGGAAAAGTTTGAACGAACTGAACAATGAAAAAGTCTGGTCTCTGAAGCATTGCTGTTAAAATGACTAATAATCCGTTTGGTACGGTTGAAAAACGAAAAGATGGAAAGTTTGTGGAAAATTTGTGGGATAAACAAAATATTATGTCCGGTAAGAAAAAAATATAACAACGATAGAAAAGTTGATATACGGAAGAAATATAGAAATGATTAAAAAGTTAATGGATTAATTTTTTTTTTAATTTATTAAAATTAATTCCTTTAAAATTAGAATGAAAGTGGATGAAAAATTAATTATTTATATTAAAATATATCTTATTTGTCTATATATTTTTTTATATATACATTAATTTTATTTATATTTTTATATTTTTATATTTTTAAAAAAAATAAAAATAAAAATTTTAAAAATATATATATATATATTTTTTTTTTTTTAAATTTCATCTTAGTTAGGGGTGAAAATTTTCTATTTAATACGACGACAAGATTCAAACTCGACACGAATTTTATAATACGAACTTGATTATAGTTTAATATGAACTCGAAAATGATCTGGCATACGAATACGAAATATAAACGGTTCATATTCAGTTCAATCCGTCAGAGTCAAAATTGACACCATCAACTTGTTGATTTAAGAATAAATGTTTTTTCTATTTTCTCATTTGTATGGTAGCACGAAATTAACATTTTAACTAGTATTATAGATATAAAATATTAATTATTTGTAACTATTTATTAAGCACCGACATATTATTATATAAAAAATATATTTGTACTCATTATTATTATTATATTTATTTAATTTAATTTTTAATTTGTAAAAAAAATGTGAGCATGAATTCAATTAAGTAAAAATAGAATATTAACGTTAAATTTTTTATTCAAAATTTATGTGAATCAATAAGAATACAAACACGAACACGACATAAGAAATAAACAGGTCAATTCAACACAACACGATTAGTTAAATGAGTTGAGTTAGATTTAATTAATGTTCGACATAAACCCGCAATAACTTAACATGAACCTAATACGACATTATTCGATTGTCACCCCCAATTTTAGCTAGCACAAAAAAAAATATTATTTTTATTTTTCATCCATCATACCAAACACAAAGTAAATTTTACCTTCATACTTTTTATCCCTCGTACTTTTCATCCATCGCACCGAACGAAACTTAAAAATACCCCGGTCCTTGGATGGCAAAACACATTAATTACCAATAGTCAGGATCTTTGAGCCAACTGTACACGCCAAGACTAGACCGGAGGTCTTCAGGAACTAGTTTTAAAAAATATTTTACTCATATCTAATTCGAGTTGAAAACAAATTATCCAAACTTATTAATTCGTGTTTAACACGTCGTGTCATATAAAATTTATGTTATATATAAATCATATATAATTAGTATAAAAACGAGTTGTGTCGTATATTTCTTTTGAATGATTTCATCTATACCCAATTTTTTTTAGTAATCATTTGTGTTAGATCTACCTACTTATGAAACAGGTGACTTAAAGAAGACTCAATTTTACTTATTTTGTATCATATTTGTGCCATGTTAACGATTCATGTCAGAGTTTGACATCTCTAGTCGGGACTAAGGTATTCACAACGAAATTGGAAGGACCCCAAAAGATTGTCAATATTCAAATTCAGGATATCTGAATTTATAGTTGATCTCAAATACCACTTAAACTACACTTGTGGTTAAATTAATTACCAAATTTTCATTGACATTTAACTACCGATGGTGGCTATTTTGGTCATTTCGACATCCATGTGTAAGCACTATTGCAATCAAGTAAATGACTTCCCACTTCATCTCAATCATGCATTGTAACAATTATTTTGTTTCGATTAAATAAAGTAGTAAATAAATATTTAAATTTCTATTTCTCAATATTATTTTTTTTGGGCAATTTATCGAATAGATAATTTGAATGTTGAGATAATGATATTAAAAATTAATTGAGCAAAGAGGAATGGTCTAGTGGTTAGCGTCTTTTTCACCTTACCACCCGATGCAAGGTTCGAATCTCGTCAAGTCTCTCTCACCTGTTTGAATAATAACCAAAAAAAAATATATTAAAAACTAATTTCGACAATTTTAATACTGTTATTTAAGCTAATTTCAAAACTTTAATCACATGTTAATATGAATTTCCAATAATTTTTATTGTGTTGGAGAGAGTGTGAATGTATTACCATGGAATCATTAAGCTTTTATCATTCTTAACTCAATCCATTAGTTAAATACAAAATCATCAGATATAAATTCAAATTTTACATAAAATTATAAATAGATTGACTGGTTGAACCCGGGTTTACATAAATCCAATAATAAACAACGTAAATACAATTATCAATGACTTATAAACACATAATAGAAATTCGATTGAACACAAACACAACATAAACCCTATATAAAAAGATGTGTTGCTGACCATAATTAACCAACAAGGTTTATAATTCTCATCATCAAGAATAAAAGATCAGAAAAATACATTGATGGAAGCCTCAAGGCCCCTCTTTGATGGAAGATCCAAATCTCTTGCAAAGTATTTCCAACACATTTTATAGTATTCGTAGTCAGTCAATAATAATGACAGACATAATAGTCCTACTGAAGTTTTGCCTTGGTTGAGCAGGATTTTTAATTATAGATGACTAGATCTGGCATGTATGAACCATGCAAAAAACTAGTGACTCTGTCAAACTCTATTTATAAACCAAAAAGAGACTGATGTGAACATGGTATATGTTTATTCTTCTGTACAGCAACATGGATGTTGGCCTAGGAAATTGTTAATTGTTTAATGAAAGTGAAATGGTTTCTATGCTCTAATTAATTGTTTTGTAGGGGGAGGGGGGGAGTAGGTCTATAGTCTGCCAACTTAAAAAAAGTTTGGCAGCACATTGACTCTTTGTAAATTGATTTGAAGTTAGGGTAATTCGAGTGTTAAAAGTGTTAATAGAAACAAGTCGTAAAGTTAGACGTTTTGAGTTTGAATTTTGACAATTTCTTGGAGACCGTGCATAGAAGTTGATGGGTTATTTAGCGCGGGAAAAAAAATTTGAGATGAATTTTGTAGTATTTAATTAAAGTAAATGAAAACTGAATCAATCATGACCCTTGTTGTATTCTTGTACGTTATATTAGATTGACTAATACATTCCAAACTAGCAGATCAGCCTCTTAAACCTCTCTATCGTATAGAAATTGGTTCTGGGTTGAAGCTGTTTCATCAATTGTTTGTGTAAAAAGTGCACTACTAACATAAACTAGTAGATCAGCCTCTGCTAGATTTGGATTTGAGAAGTTGATGATTCAGTCCCCTGGTATTCATAGATTGAAGACTGCAAATTTCTTTAGCCCATCATGAATTGATCCCTCTGCATTGGGTTGGAGGAAGAGAGAGGGTTTTTTTTTTTTTTTTTTTTGGGGGGGGGGGGCGCACTAAGAAAATGTAATGGGCTCAGAATCAATGTAATATATCAGGAATGGTGGCTGGCCTCAGGAGTTTCCCCTGAAAATGAAACAATTATCCAAGTTTGCTAAATATGATACTTGAAGATCAAAGGAAAATATTGATGGGCCTAACTGGCACAACCCAGCTTAAGCACACAGTCACATTCTGCCCCAAATTTGAACTAATTTTGGCCCATTGCATGATGGGCCCTACTTGGGTGTGTAATGAACTAAAATCAACCTAATCCAACAATTTTGCCAATTTGTTTTATCAAACAACTTGCAATAAACTCTCTGCATGAAGGCACTCTGCAATCGTTTCTTGATCATGTTGACGTTTCAGCTAGAAGGACCTCACCTAGTTGATGTTTAAAATTATGTAAACTATCCGTTTGTAGTTATATATTAAAGTGAAATAATTATTTTTATTATTCAAGTTAATGGAGAGTGTACTCCACACGTCCAAACACATGTTGTAGGCTTTGATTCCATTATTTCTCTCCAAAAGAATTTTATCTAAGTGCTTAAAATACCTTTTATAATATATGATATGATACCTAAATAGGTAGGGCATCGGTCCTAAATCAAAAAACTTAAAAACATGTAAGAAATATATAAGTAATTTTTGGACACAAATCAAAACCTCACTTGAGGGAAAAATAGACTCGACATGTTTGATTGGAGTGTATTGATTTGTTTGAAATGTGTTGGTTTGTTGTCATATTTCATTTTTTTTATGGTCAAGAATAAATCAGAGGAAAAGTTTGATTTTAAAACGTAGGTATTATAGTAATTTTTTAATTTTGTTAACAAAGTCAATTACTTTATTTTAGAACATAACTATAAAGGGATAACATGTATAATTTGAAATATCAAGTAGGTACAGTGTTCCTAACCAAAACCACAAGAGGATAAAAACTAATTAATTGTAAATTAAAAATTTTAAAGTTAAAGTTGACAGTGGGGTTGTCTGACATTAAAAAGTGTGTTGATTGAATTGTTTCGTTGAGAGCAACGTAAAAACGATAATAATTTTGGGTGAAAACAAAATTTAAGATGAATTTTGTACTATTTAATCAAAATAGAAAATAGATAAAATTGGATTCATTTTAACCGTTGTTATGCTTTTCTAAACTGAGAATTCAATTTGTTAATTATAATATTAGATAGTTTCAGAAAAATCCCAACCAATGATAATCAAGGAGTCCAGAAGTCTAACCTCGTTAATCAAGTAGGGGAAGAGGTTGAGTCTCCAAAACCAGGGACGTAGACTCAAATCCCCTCTAATATATATATTTTTTAATTTTATTCTTGACGGATCATACATTATTAATGAATAAAATATTTTATTTGAATACAATAAGTTTCATATAAATACATAATAGATGATCCATCATGAAAAAAATTTAAAAAAAACATACTCGAAGGGATCTCAATTCCTTGGAGATTGGCCTAATTAAGCCTCTTTAATAAAATTTCTATTACTCAATTTGTTATTTTAAAAAGTTGGGTTTTAAAAATTAATCTCTATAAGCTCTTTATTTTTACAAG